CGCCCGGCCAGCTGCTGCCTCCTCTGGCCTCCTGCTGGCTGCCAAGTGCCAACGGCCAACGCTGCCAGTCCTTTCAAACGCCTCCTCCTCGCTCTGCGGGAGCCCCTCCTGCCCACCACATCCCCCAGGTGCAGCCAGAGGCCACCAGGTTCCCGCCCTGCCCCTCTGCCGTCTGGGCGCGCCCCACTGTGTCCACCCCCATGGTCCACCAGGCCCTGTGCCCTGGGCCTGCTCTGGCTAGCGTCCAGCTCTGAGTTTCAGGCAGTGTCTTCTCTCTGAGGACTGTGGCTTAAGGGACTTGCCTGCTGTGTGCCCAGATGCCGGGCTCCAGGCCGGGTAGGGCAGCGGCTCCTCCTGCAGGTAGTGTCCAGTCTGCCCACCGTGGCTGCCAGAGCGCAACCTTCTCTACAGAAGGGCAAGTCCAGACTCCGGGCTGGCAGGAGGCACGGTGTTCTTGTCCTTTCGGCTTCCCTGAGACTTAGGGTGTGGGGGGAGCCCTCCTGCTGGGCTTGGCCCCGCCGCTCGGGCGTGGGGGACCGGCCTGGCCAGTGCCCCTGGACGTTGGCCTCGTGGTCTCCTTCCAGCCAGGCCAGCCGCGCTCCCTCTGTGCTGGCGGGTGGGCGACACCCGGCTCCGTGTGCCTGTGGCTCGGCTTGCGAGCTCGTAGCTCACCGGGCAGATGTGGAGGGCTCGGCCTCTGGCCCCGGGGGCCCTTCCGCCTGCCCCTCGCGCCTCTTTGCTGTCCCGGGCTGCCCGCCTCTGCCCACTGACGGTTCGGGGCCACGAGTCCGGAGCCAAGGTGTTGGCAGAGCCCCAAGCGCAGAGGCCCCAGGCCTGGCTCCGCATCGGCCACCTGCCCTTCCAGCCCACCCCTGCAGTTTGGGGCCGCCCCTGGATGTCGGGCTCTGCCGGGCTGCCCGCCACCTGGTCACGGGCTGCTCCTGGGCCCGGTGTGGACACCAGACACCAGCCTCAGGACTCGCGCGGGGTGACCCCACTGGGCCCCGTCCTCCCGCCAGCCCCCTGTGCCTTCGTCCTGGAGCAGCTCTCAGCGCTGGACACCCCGGGGCTTCTGAGGGCCAGCCATGTCCTCCATGTGCCGAGGTTTGCTGCGATGAGTCAGGTCAAGACTGGAGCCCCAGAACCTGACAGCCACGCTCCTCTCCAATTCTGGGGACCCCCGCGGGCACGCACGTGGCTGAGAGTCCGTGTTGTCAAGTGTCCGTCTGTGGGAAGCCCTGTGCCCCCGGCCGCCCCGCTCTCTGGGTCCCCCGCTACCCCCACTGGTGTCCCCCTGCGCCTCTGGCCCCTGCTCCGTGCCCTCGGGCACCCCCGCATTCTGCCTCCTCCTGGAGGATGCTGGCACAGCCGGGCCCTCCAGGTCTCGCTGCTCGTTCTCTCTGGGCCTGAGTCCGGCGGCACTGCTGGCTGGGGGAGCGCCTCCTGCGCCTTCCTGTCCTCAGACTGTCCACTGCGCTGTGTGCTCTCGTCACACCGCAGGCCGTGCTCTCCGCACGCCACACCGCCCTGCCCCGGCCTCCAGGCTCCCAGCGTACACCTGCGTCCCAGGCTGCTGCTGCAAGGCTCCACCTGGCCTGGCCTCTCTCCTGTGAGCAGGGCTGCCGCCCGCCTGTGCTTCCTGCTGTGCTGGGAATGGGGTGCCCAGCGAGCCGCCCCGCGAGGGCCTGTAGAGCCCTGTGACCAGCTGCCTCGAGGGGCAGAGGGCTCTGGGGGTGACGTCAACTGGATCACCTCCAGGGGACGGCACCCTGCATGCCCGGGAGGCCTGTGGCCGCCAGCCACACAGGTCCTTGTGACAGGGAAGAGCGGTTGGCTCAGAGAGGCGAGGGCTGCGCCCAGCCTGGCGACAAGCGTGACCAGAGACGCCGCAGAGGGAGGCGGCCTGAGCCAGGGCTGCCTGGCCACGAGAGGCAGGAAAAGGCCAGGGCCCAGTGGCCCCGCGGCCTCCAGGAGGCAGCAGCGCCGCAGGCCCCCTGACGGCAGCCCAGCAGGACCTGACCTGTCCGAGCCTTGGTAGCACCTGCGGTCCGGCCAGCCCTCCGGCCCCCCCACGCTCCAGCTCTGGGAGAGCACGGCCCCAGCATCGGTTCCCAGAGGGGAGGGGGAGGGGCAGGCAACGGCCACCTCCCCAAGGTCACAGGCCCGACAGGGTCTCCCTCAGGTTGAGACGCGGTAACCTTTAGCCCAGGGCGCAGCTTTCTCCTCCCTGTCACCCGGCAGGGCGGGGCGGGCTGTGGGTGGCTGCATCAGGGTCCCACGGGGCAGCCACAGCCGTGTCCCCAGGTGGGGTGCTCACCTGCAAGGCCTCACGGAGGAGGCAGGCGAGCAGCTGACTGGGCTGCGCCCTACGCAGGGCGCACGCAGAACAGGCCTGCCTGCCACGGTGCCTGCAAGCCTCCTGCCCACTGTGTTTCCCCACACGGCCCCTTCTCTCCGCAGTCCCCCCACCGAGAGCTGCGGCGTGCTCAGGCACCAGCTGCTTCAAAACACCCTGCGTTGTGGGCCTCCCTGGCGGTGCAGGCCCTTGAGCGCAGCGCTGTGGAGCTGTCCGCAGCCTCTGCAGCGCCGGTTCATCCCCGCCAGCCTTGGAGCAGCCCACATGGTGCAGCAGACCTTTCCTGTCTCACCCGCTGCTCAGCAGCGTATTTCGATCAGTCTACCTGTTCTGTTCCTCGTTCTGTCTCTGGTGAATCCTCTCACTCCCACACCTCTGGCCTGTACCCTGGCTCTTGTATAAAAATAATCTTTTTTTTTAAAGATTTATTTATTTCTTTTATTTACACAAGCACTGGGTACAGTCAGAAGCGCGGGAGGGTGAGAGAATCCACCAGAGCCAGAGCGGGGAGCAGAGCAGACAGAAGGACCGAAGGACACTGCTGAGGGGAGCAGCGGGCGGCAGGAGGGGTCTGCGCGCCATGCGGGACCCTCCTCCGGTGGCCGGGGAGCAGCCGGGGATCGAACTGGCGCTGCAGAGGCTGCGGGCAGCTTCGCATCCCAGCGCTCAACCGCTGCGCCACCGGGGAGGCCCAAAAATAAAGAAATCTTTTAAAAAAAAAAACACTTTGCATTGTTCCGAGATCTCAAAGTCTTGGCCTGTGGCCAAGGACGGGTTTTTCTAAACATGACAGTAGAACCAGGTCACCAAAGCACACTTGGAAAATTGGGGGCCACGTCAGAAGAACCTCTGAAGACTCACAGGCTGGGGGGCTAAGCACTGGGGTGGGAGAGGGGCCCACCCCACCTGCACCCCAGGCTACAGCAATCCAGGCAGCTTCCCTGAATTCTGGCCCCACTCCCTGGCCAGGGACACTAACCCTGGCCCCTCAGGCCTGCCCCTCGGCTGCCTGCCCCCTGGCCACCCGCCTGTGGCCTGCAGGCCCGGCGTCTCCCAGGCGCCTGTGCCGGCCCAGGCCCCAGTCCAGTCACCCCAGGAGCCCAGCTTGCAGCTTATCCCGTGGGCTCCGAGGCTGCGCCCTGGCCGGGGCATCGCGGTTCCCAGGCGGAAGAGGCCGGTGGCGACCTCCCCAGCCCGCGGGAGGCCCACAGGTCGAGGGGTGCAGCCTGGGCCCCAGGGAGGAGAGGTGGGGACCTTCCAGCCCGATGGCAGGACCAGGGGGGCCTGCAAGCCAACACCCGTGGCCGTTCCCGTCCTCCCCGGGTTCCCTCCACTTCACTGAGACGCGACCGGCCCCGGCGCCGCGGAGCGAGGGCACAGCAGGGCGGGGCGGCTGGGGTGAGGCCAGGCAGCCCCCGCCGGGTCCCACGCCCACACGGGACTCTCTCTGCAACTTGAGAGGTTCCTCTGCTCCCGGAATTGTGAATTCTGAGATTTTTAGCTAAAGAAAGCGCAGCAGACTTGGCCTTTCCGGGAGCATGTGGCCTTCAGGGCCGGCCGGGAGGCGCTGCAGGGCGCTCCGGCGAGGGCTGCTCCAGGGGCCGGGGCCGCCCTCAGCTGCCCTTTTTTTTTTCAATTTACTTATTTGTGCGCGCAAGAGCGGGGCGCGGGCCAGGGGTGCGGGGCGCGGGCGCCCCAGAGACGGCGCGGGGCGCAGAGCAGGGCGGGCGGCGGGACGGGGACCCCCGGGGCGGCGGGGCCGGGTCTGCCGCGGGAGGGCCGCTCCCGGGGGCCCAGGCGGGCTGCGGGCCGGGCGGCCTCAGGCGGGGGCTCCCCGCGCCCCGGACGCCGCCCCGCGGCCGCCCGCCCGCCCCGCCCGCCCCCGGCGCTCGCGGCGGCGGCGCCCAGGCCGGCCAGGGCGGCCGCTCCTCCTCGGGCCGCCCCGAGCCGCCGCCCCCGCGTGCAGCGGGCGCCGGGAGCCCCCGCGGGCCCGGCCGCCGCGGCGCAGGGCGTTGCGCGTGCCCGGCGAGGCCGCCGCCGGCGCGGGAGCCCGGGGCCGGGCGGCGCCCCCGCGGGAGGGGGGCGGCCGGGGCGGGGGCGGGCGGGAGCGGGGGCGCCCGCGCGCCGCCTGCCGGGAATCGTAGTCCGCAGGCGCTCGGGCTGTAGGACTCGGGGCGCTCCGCGGCACGCCGGGGCGGGCGGGAGCGCGGGGCGCCCGCCCGCCGCGCCGCCTGCCGGGAATCGTAGTCCGCAGGCGCTCGGGCTGTAGGACTCGGAGTCCCAATGCGCTCCGCGGCACGCCGGCCTCCCCACTCCGCCCCCGCCCCGTGGCCCGCCGGGAGTTGTAGTCCGGCGCGGCGAGGCCCCGGACGTGCGGGGCGCGGCGGGACTCGGTGTCCCAGAAAGCCTCGCGCGGGGCCACGCCGCCGGCGTCGCCGCCGCTGCGCTGTCTCCGGCCGCCGCCGCCGCCGCTGCTTCGCGGGCCGGGGGCGCGGGCGTCGGCGTCGGGCGCGGAGCTGCGGGTGGGGCTCCGGGGCCGGGCGGGCCGGGCGGGCCGGGGGGATGGAGCCGCGGGGGGCGGCGGGCGGGCGGGCGGGCGGGCGGGCGCGCGGGCCGGCCGGCGCGCAGCGAGCGGACGCTCTCCCCTAGCGGACCGACGCGGACCCCGCTCCGGGCGGCGGCGCAGCGGACATGGCCCACCTCCGGGGCCTCGCCAGCCAGGTGGGCGCGGCCGGGGGCGGCGCGGCGCGGCGCGGCGCGGGGCGGGGCGGGGGCCCGGGCCGCGCCGCCGGGCGGAGGGCGGCCCCTCCGGGGCGCGGCGGGCCGGGGCGGCGGGGCTCCCGGCAGGGGCTGTCGGGCCCGGCCGGGCAGGTGCCTCTCCCCGGGGCGCCCCTGCGGCGGCTCCGCGGGCCCCAGGAGGGCGCCGTGGCCGGGCGCCCGCGGCTCCCGCAGGAAGGACGCCCCCCGGCTCTTCGGGGCCGGAGCCGAGGCCGGCAGGACGCCGAGGCCGGCCTCCAGGCCAGAGGGGCGGCCCCTGCGGGCGGTCCGGCCCTGCCAGGGGGTGGCGGGTGGCTCGGCCCCGGCCGTGGTGCGGGGGACACTCAAGGCGGGGACTTCAGACCCGGCGAGTCCTTTGTGGGGGGCCCCGGGTCTTGCCCCTCGGCCGGGTCTTGCCTCTCCCCTGTCCAGTGGGGCTGGGCACAGCTGTCCCTGTGACTGTCCCCCTGGTCAGGTCTGGGTCAGAGGCGCCTTCTGCACTCTTCGGGGAGGTGGAGCTGTGTGCTCAGAGTGACGGCCCGGGCACCCCCACTGAGTCACTGGCTGACGCCCTCGGTGTGCCCGGGCTGGGCAGGCCCCTGGGCTCTGGTTTGCTGGCTGCTGATGGGCTGGGGGGCGTCTGGGGGGCACCTGTGAGGACAGGAGAGGGGCACAGGCCACCTGGGCGTGGGGCATCCAGGCTGAGCCCAGCTTACTGGGGCCTCCGGCGCCCACAGGGCTTCCTCGGGCCGGGCCAGCTCCCCTCTGTGCTCACGCACCTACACCTCGGCCTAATCCACGCGCCCCCAGCCCAGGCCCGCGGCGGAGCCTGACTCAGCCAGCTCTGTAGAGCAGTGGCCGGGCCTGCCTGGCAGCCCCGCTCCCCACCAGGCTGCTGCGGGCTCTGCCTGGCAAGGGCCGTCCCTGTCACCACCCAGGCCACCTGCCTCCAGCCGGCACTCACCCCCACCCACGTCTCCCCGAGCCTGCCAGGTTGGGGAGAGGGTTGGGCACTTCTGTGGGCGATGGCACCCTGTGCCCCCCACCACTTCCATCTCAGGGGCTTCATAGGTGGGGACAGCCTCCCTCTCTGGTGGGGCGGGGCAGGTGAGGCCCTTGGGAGGGAGGGGCCCCCAGCTCAAGGCTGGGTTAACCCTGGCTGCCGCAGGCCCCCCTGGGCCTTGGGCTCCGCACCCATCCCCTGTCACGGCTGGGGGCGGCGGCACGTGTTCTCAGGAAGCCACCACAGTCGCTCTCTGAGGTCCTCCTCAGCAGCCCCCCAGTGCTGCCTCAGCACTGACATAGCCGGGGCTCATGCTTGATCCCCTCTGCAGCCGGCCCCTCTGTGCTAGCGCTTGCGGGGCCAGGAGTCTATGGTAGCCAGTTCCCCTGGCCAGGGCCGGGGGATGGAGTCCCGGCACCTGCACCCACTGTTCCCTGGGGCAGCGTGTGGTCAGTGACCTACCAATGCGCCGAGGCAGACTCCCAGGGGCACAGCACCCATGGGCACCACTCTCTTCCCTCCCCCCGCCACTGTCCGGGCCCATCACGGGGGCGCCGGTCAGTCTCCTGGAAGAGACACACAGCCTGGGGCGCCGCGCCCTGACCCGCCGCCCGCCCGCAGCACCCACGCCTGGACCCCGAGGAGCTCTTCACTAAGCTCGACCGCATCGGCAAGGGCTCCTTCGGGGAGGTGTTCAAGGGCATCGACAACCGCACCAAGGAGGTGGTGGCCATCAAGATCATCGATTTGGAGGAGGCGGAGGACGAGATCGAGGACATCCAGCAGGAGATCACCGTGCTCAGCCAGTGCGACAGCCCCCACATCACCCGCTACTTCGGCTCCTACCTGAAGGTGCTGGGGCCACGGGGCCGGGGGGTGGGGGGCAGATGCCCCCAGAGAGGTGTGGGGGGTAGGGTCTCAGCGGCTCCCCGGAGGAGCCATATGACCCCTGTGCCTGGGCCCTCGGCCCGCTGGGCGCTTGCTGCGCAGGGCGCTGAGGCCACAGCTGGCCTAGTCCGTGGGCAAGGCTGCTGGAGCCCTGGCAGGCTGCGCCTCGCCCTGCGGGGAGCGCGTGGGGGCGGCCGCCGCGCTGACGGGCTTCTCCGGCCCAGAGCACGAAGCTGTGGATCATCATGGAGTACCTGGGCGGCGGCTCTGCGCTGGACCTGGTGAGTGGCTGTGGGCCCGGCCAGCTGCTGTCGGCTCCAGGCAGTCCCCGGTGGCACGGAGGGTGCTGGCTCCTGTGGGCTGGGCGCAGGCTCCCGGGGGCGGCTGGGCCTGTCTCGTCTGTGCTCAGGCAGTAGAGGCGGCAGCATGTGCTCGGGAGAGCCTCCCCACACTCGCCCACCTGCCTTTGAAACGTCCTTTCCTTCCACGTCTCGAGGAGCAGAAGCCCCTGCCACGCTGGGGCGCGACTCCCTGGGGAGGGGGTGATGGGGGCTGGGCCTGCAGAGGGGCTGAGCCGGCGTCTGTCCCGCAGTTGAAGCCGGGGCCTTTGGAGGAGACCTACATCGCCACCATCCTGCGGGAGGTGCTCAAGGGCCTGGACTACCTGCACTCGGAGCGCAAGCTCCACCGGGACATCAAAGGTCGCGTGGGCCCGATGCCCGTTGACCAGGCCAGCCAGGGCGGGGTGCGGGGCCGGGACACGGGCTGCACGCACACCCTTGGCGACAGGCGTCAGCGATGCAGCCGCTCCGGCCGGCTGTGCTCCTGTGCGGGTGCCGCCTGCACAGCCCTGCGTGGCCTCCGGCCATGGACCCTTGGGGGGGTGGCTGGCTGCACACACCGGGGGCATGAGGACGAGGGTGGTTTGCAGAGATGGTGCTTGGGGTCTGCCAGGAAAAGCAGGAGCGGGCCCTGGGTCCTCCTGCCCTGGCCCCCGAGCTCTGGTCCTCTGGCCACATGGGGGCCGGGGGGCTCCCAGGGGTGCTGCAGGGGGCGGGCCGGGGGTGACGTGCTGCCCTGTGTCTTGCAGCTGCCAACGTGTTGCTGTCGGAGCAGGGCGACGTGAAGCTGGCCGACTTCGGGGTGGCCGGCCAGCTCACCGACACCCAGATCAAGAGGAACACGTTTGTGGGCACGCCCTTCTGGATGGCGCCCGAGGTCATCAAGCAGTCGGCCTACGACTTCAAGGTGGGGGGCGGCCAGGGCCGGGGGTGGCTGGGGAGGGGGCGGCCCGGGGTGCCCGGCGGCAACGCTGTGGCTGTCTGTCTAGGCTGACATCTGGTCGCTGGGGATCACAGCCATCGAGCTGGCCAAGGGCGAGCCTCCAAACTCCGACCTGCACCCCATGCGTGTCCTGTTCCTGATCCCCAAGAACAGCCCGCCCACGCTGGAGGGCCAGCACAGCAAGCCTTCAAGGACTTCGTGGAGGCCTGCCTCAACAAGGACCCCCGATTCGTAAGCTCCCGGGGCCAAGGCCCCTGCAGCCAGTCCCTGCAGGCGGAGCCCCTGGGCGGGCGGGCCCCCATTCCCCAGGGCGTGGCTGCTGACGGCCCCACCCCGCAGCGGCCGACCGCCAAGGAGCTGCTGAAGCACAAGTTCATCACGCGCTACACCAAGAAGACCACCTTCCTCACCGAGCTCACCGACCGCTACCGGCGCTGGAAGTCCGAGGGCCACGGCGAGGAGTCCAGCTCCGAGGACTCGGACGCGTAGGCTTGTCTGCGGGGGGGGGCGGCCCCTGCCTGGCGGGCGGAGCCCGGGAGACCAGCCTGACGCCCCTTTCCTCCTCAGCGACGGGGAAGCCGAGGACGGGGAGCAGGGCCCCATCTGGACGTTCCCCCCCACCATCCGGCCGAGCCCGCACAGCAAGCTGCACAAGGGCCTGCACGGCCCCCAGAAGGTCAGGCGGGTGCGGGGCGAGGGAGGGGTGAGGAACTGGGGGCGGCAGGGGGCGCTGAGCTGGCCTGTGTCCACAGTCCGCAGAGCCTGTCAAGAGGCAGCCGCGCTCCCAGTGCCTGTCCACGCTGGTCCGGCCTGTGTTTGGAGAGGTGAGCCTGGTCCCAGGCCCCCTGCCTCCATAGGCGGGTGGGCCCAGGCCTTGGGCTAGGCCGGCCTGGGACAGGGCTGGCCTGGGGTGCAGCCGGTGGCCGACTGCCCAGCGGGTGCAGGACCCCTAAGTCGCCTCGGGCCTCAGCAGCACTCTTGGGGCCCAGGGCGGGCGCTGACCCCTGTGGGGCCTCTGGGCACTGGCCAGAGAGGGCGAGGCCCTGGTACCCTCCTCGGCTTGGCGCCCGCACTCCTAGCTGTGATGCAGAGCAGCTGGGAGGCAGTGGAGGCCGGCGGGTTCTCCACTGGCTGCTGAGCTTGGGTGGGGGCGCTGCTGGATCCCTCTTGCTGGGATCCAGACCTGGGCTGCAGTGCCCTGGTGTTTTCCAGGACCCTGGGCCTGAGTGGTGGCCTGCTGCGGTCAGCTGGGCCCACACCCTGGCCTGGCAGAGACCCTCCTGTAAACGTGCAGGAGACGCTCGGGGGCGGGCGGGGAGCAGCCAGCCGCGTGACGTGCTCTGCTGGCCGGGTCTCCACACAGCTCAGGGAGAAGCACAAGCAGAGCGGGGGGGGCGCAGGCGCCCTGGAGGAGCTGGAGAACGCGTTCAGCCTGGCCGAGGAGTCCTGCCCCGGCATCGCCGACCAGCTCATGGCGCAGCTGGTGGAGCGGGTGCAGAGGTCAGGCCCGGGCACTTTGAGGGGGGGCCGCGCTCTGCCCACCCACCCCAGGGTCCCCTGTGATCTGCCCGCCCCGGGGTCCTCTGCACACTCCCCACCCGCCTGGGGGTCCCCCGTGCCCTGCCCACCCGCTCTGCCCGCCCGGTGGTGCAGACATCGACAGGGCAGTGACAGACCTGTCCCTCGCAGGTTTTCGCACAACAGAAACCACCTGACCTCTGCCCGCTGAAGCTGCGCCGGCGCGGGGAGGCGGCCTCACCGCCAGGCAGCGGCTCGGGCCGCTGCCCCCGCCACTCCCCCCTGGCTGGGCCCGGACCCCACAGAGATGGCTGCCGCGTCCTCTCCAGCCCTGGCGCACAGACTGTCGGGCGGCCGGGCCCCTCCCCCCTGGGCCGGGCCTCCGCTGCAGGGGCGTGGGGTCAGGCGCGGCCTTGTCGCTGCCCCTGTTGTCCGGGAAGCTCTTAGAGCGCCGCTGAGGTCAGGGCGCCCTGGTTTGTGCAAGTTGCTGGCTCTGCCACTCTCAATAAAGGCCGGCCCGGGGCCCTGCTGCGTGGGCGCGGCGGGTGCCAGACCCAGAGGCGGCGTGCGGGGGCCTTTATTCAGCCTCGCTCTGGATCTGCGCGTGCCGGCCCGCGGTGGGCCGCCAGCGGGCGGGCCCTTGGCTCCCTCGTGGACAGGTGCTCACGGCTCCTGGGGGTGGCCCTTGGGGTCACCTCCCTCCGGTGGGGCAGGGCAGGCGGCGCACGGTCACTTGCAAAGGCGGCCCTGGCGGGAGCGGAACACACAACTTGGGCCACAGCTCAGGGATGTGCTCTTTGCGGACACGTGGCCACTTCAGTGCCCGTTTGGGAGCCCAGCAGTGGGGGCTGGCCAGGGTGGTCATCCAGGATATGCCCGCGCCCCTGGCGCCCAGCGGGGCTGGTGGAACAAGTGGATGTCGGCAGAGACCGCCCAGAGCTGCTGCCCATGGGTACTGCTGTGATTTTCCGGCAGCTCCACGGTTGGCCAGGCTGGGCCCGCCCCGTCCCTGCTGAGGGCCCTGGGGGAGCCGCCCAGTTCTGCCTGTGCTGCTCCTCAGGCCCCCGCAGCCCAGGCACGCTGTGAAGCAGGCGCCCTTGTGGGGTGGGCGACGCAGCAACCGGTCCCTCCACCCTTGTGTGCTCTGGCCGCCCTCGGTCCTGCAGCGCGGGTCCCTCTGCTGCTGTGACGTGACACGGGGCCATGTGCTGCCGAGCCGCCGGATACAGGCCAGGCCGCTCTGGGCTCTCCCCGCCTGCCCCCGCTGCAGCCCCAGGACCCTGGCAGGGGGACGCCACTTGTGTGTCCACGTGGGCCTGGTTCAGGACGGGAGCCCCACCTGGCCCGGTGTGGCGGCGAGAGCCCAGGGAGGTGCCCCCCGCAGGCACGTGCTGGGGCCAGCAGCATCAGCTGCAGTGAAACGGGGCCGGACACGGCCTGAGCAGCAGGCGGTGAATAGGCCGGAGAGCCCCGCGCGAGCCATGAAAGCAAGGAATGGGCGCCCTGGGCCGGCACTGGGGTCTCCCGGCCAGTGCCCTGCTGCCCTCTGACGGACAAGGCGGGCCCCGCCGGTCAGTGCAGGGGCCCCACAGACCCAGCGTGTCCTGTGCTGGTCCCGAGCCCCCAGGGCCTGCTGGGCCTGAAGTGACCACAGTGGCCACGGGCAGCGAGCAGGCCAGGGGAGGTGGGGGCAGCGCAAGCTCAGTAAAGCACTTGGGGGCCTAAAGGACACTCAGGAGGGCCGTCCCTCCTCCCCAGAAGCCGCCCTGTGAGCAGAGCATGCCCACCATAAAGGCAGCCTCGGGGTCAGGGAGATCAAGGGGGCCCATCGGATGCCGTCCCCCAGAAACACCTGCGCCCGCAGGCCGCTGAGACTCAGGTTGGCGTTTCATGACATGGGGGTTGCTGGGCCAGGGCAGGGCAGGGAGGGGCCGCTGGCTACACCCAACCTAAGCTGCTGCACTGGGGCTTGGAGAGGGCCAGAGAGACCTGTCTGGGGGGACCCCAAGTCTCGAGCTGTGCCGCCCCCGACAAGCAGCAGCGCCTGACGGTCCCCACGGAGTCAGCCTGAGGGGCCGGCCACGTGGCCCTCGGCTCAGAACTGGCCGCGCGCTGGTGTCTGCTGGCTTTGGGGCAGGGGCCGCAGGCTCCTCGGGGAGAGCGAAGATGGACATGGCGCCTGCTGCCCACCAGAGGCCCTCAGAGCCGGTCAAGTCGAAGGCAGGGCTGAGGCGCAGGGACACGGGCAGGGCCAGGGGCGTCTGAGGTGCGGGCAGCTGACGAGAACGTGGACAACCTGGACCTCGCACGGAAACTGTCCCGACTCCATCGAGTCGGTGCCAAAACCCGCAGATGGAGGAAGGACCCGCAGAGCTCGCGCTGGCCTGGCTGGTGGCGCGGGCACCGGGCGGGGCTGGCCACGCCTCAGAGCTGCTGCCGGCGCAGGACACGCGGCTTTCCAGAGGGTGGACACTTCAGGGTGGACAGAGCTGCGGTCGCGGTGGGGCCCAGCCAGCCAGCTCGGGGGCATTGAAGCTGGAGACGGGGTGCCGGCGGGTGGGGTCCCTGCGGTGGGCGCGTGGGGCGGGAGTGCCGTCTGGACGAGCCACTCGCGGCCGGGCGCGGAGGCCTCTGTGCGGCCCGGGAGGGCGGGGGCCGCCTGGGGCGCCACGGGGAGCCCCTCCGTGGACGGCCTCTGCAAGCACGGGCAGGGCCGGGGGCGCCCGGGGGTGCGGGCAGGGAGGGGCCCGCCCGGGGCTGCTGGCCTGAGAGGCTGCGCCTGGGCGCGGGGTGGGGGTCGCCCTCCCGAGCCCTGGTGCCGGGGTGCGGCCGTTCCCCTGAGCGGGGCGCCCTGGGCAAGGACACGGCCGCGCCCCCTGGAGTGGGGGCATGGGTGCCGCGGCACATGCCCAGCGGAGAAGGGCCCAGGCGCGGCCCGGTGCCCTCCCGCCCTGGGGCGCCCCCCCCGGGGGCTCCCTCTGGCCCACCCTCACCCCCACCCCCGCCGCTGGGCGCGGCTGGCGTCCTCCCTGACCTCGCTGCGGCCCCGCCCCGGCGCCCCCCCACAGGGCGAGGACCCCCCCCAGGCGGGTGCGCGGGGGGGGGGGGGGGGGGGCCGGGGGCCGCACTCCACGGCGAGCCCCTCCCAACCCCGGGCCACGCGCTCGGGTCCCGGACCCCTTGGCCACGAAGTGGGCCTTGCAGGCCGCCGCGCCCCGGTACCCCAGGGGACCCACGCCGAGGCAGGGGCGAGCCCGCCGTGCCCCTCTAGGGCCTCCGTCCACGGGGGTCCCTTCGAGGGAAGCTGCTGCAGGGGCGTCCCAGGATCAGCTGCCCTGGGGAGCCCACGGCCCGGCGCCCCCACGGCTTCCCTGGGCTCCAGGGCCAGCGGGAGGGGACCCGGCGCCCAGCGCCACCCCCCACCGGCCGCTGCAGGCCCAGAGGAGCAGGGGCGCCGGGCGGAGGCCGCGGGGCTTCCAGGGGTAAAGGGGTCAGGGGTCTATAAAGGCTGGGCTGAGGTTTGGGGCCCAAGGACAGAAACTGCCACTGCCTCTGAGGTCAGAGGTCAGGTGCGAGGGCCGCAGGGGTGTTTGGGGCTGCGGCGAGCGGGCGGGCCCAGAGTCCACCGGGCCACGCGCCAGCTCCCCACACCCCGCTTGCAGCCTCTCCCCCAGTGTGGGGCTCCCCCACCCGCTGGGCTTCGCCCGGAGCCCAACAGGCCCTGGGCCCCGCGTGTCCTGTGGGGGGTGCAGGGGAGCCCCGAGAGAGCAGCCACAGGGGCCCGCGGGCGCCCACCAGACACAGTGGCGCGCGGCGCAGAGGGCCGGCGGGAAGGGCGCAGCTGTTTCGGGGCCAAGTCGACCAAGACCCCAAGGACGCGGCGGGTCGGACACGGCACTGCCAAATCCAAACCCACAGGCCCCCTGGGGCGCGGGGTGGGGGTCGCACTGTGAAGCTATGGGCAGCCCCTGCGGCCTGAGTGCGACCCCCGGCCAGGGAGCTGCCCACACGGCGCAGCAGACCCTCCTGTCCCCCTGCTCCCCTCAGCAGCATGTCTCGGGGGGTCCGCCTGTTCTGCCCCCACTCTGTCTCTGGGGAGCCCTCACCCGGCCCTCTGGTCCGCACCCCAGTTCTTGTATGCGTAAATAAACCTTCAAAAGAACTCACAGTGGATATTTTCTTACTTTAGTGGTAAGTCATTAAACCCCTGGATTAGTACAGATCTGGGATGGACACGCGGAGTGTCCCAGGAGCGACCCTGCAAGTACTGGGCACTGGCTGCAGCAGGGGCAGGGCGCAGGCCGGGGTCCCCAGGCCACGGGGGGCACAGTGACCGGGACTTGCGAGGCCGCAGAGATTACAGCTGGGGAAACGCCGCAGGGGCGGTTCCTCCACGCCCCACGCCGCCCCCCACCCCCGCCGCATGGAGCGCACGCCCCACGGGAAAGCCGGCCCTCCCCAGAGCACCCAGCGGTGCCCCCACAGCCCGCGCCCGGCCGCCACCCAGCCCTGTCCCACCCCGGACGCTCACACACAAACAGGAGACTGAGCGGACACCCTCCCCTCGTGGGGCGCGGCTGTGCCCACCCTGGGGTGGCAGCCTGGGTGGGAAGGGATCGTGGCGCCCACAGACCCGAGACTCAGCCCAGCCCCAGGACCCTCAGGACGGCGTGGCCTCCGGGAAGGGCTGGCACGGGGCAGATGATCACCGGCGCAGCCCTGGGCTCCCAAGCACCCCCACATGACAGAGCCCCCCGAGGAGTCCGCCGGGACGGGGTTCTGAGATGCCGGGGCGCCCATTTGGGCAGGGAGCGCGCTGGCATTGGCCGGGGGCACAGGGACCCCGGGGGGCGGGGCGCAGGCGGGGCGGGGCACAGGCTCCTTGCTCCTCTTCCCACTTCCACATGTTCTGAAAACTTTGCAAAATGAGAAGCGAGAACACCAGCTCCGGGAAGCAAAGCTCCACTGGAAAAACTGCAGCGGGTCCGCGGCTGCGGGGGGCGGGAGGCTGAGCGCGGGAGGCCGTGGGGTGGGAAGTCCCGGGCCTGGACTGATGGTGCCCGGCTGGCACCTGGAACAGCGGGCGGCCGGGGTCACGCAGCGCGGGAGACCCCTAAGGCGTGAGGCGCAGCCAGGGAGCGTGGCGGGGGCGTGACCGGAAGACTGGCCGGGTCTGGACCGCGACATCCTTTCTCGTGTCAGCAAAGCTCGGCCTGAGAGGCAGCCGCGTCGGAGGGTGCAGCGTGTCCCGGAGGACGCGGGCCCTGGCGGGGGCGGTGCACCTTCCAGGCCGCACACCGAGAGATTCGGCGTCTAGTGACCAACGCGGGGCGGGTGTCAATAACAGAGTCGTGCCGCAGCCGGGACACCCGAGCCCGGGGCCGAGAGGCCTGCGTCCCGGGTCCCGCTTCTTTAAGCCCCACTCCACGTCTGTCGGGTCTTCGTTTCTCGGCCCTTTCAGTTCTTCTGCCCGAGTCTGCTCACGGGCGCCGGTCCCCAGCAACGCAGGGCAGCGGCCCTCGGCAGGCACGGCAGATAGAGGGGCCCGGGGCCTCGGAGTGGCTCTGGGGCTGCACGGGGTCCTTGCACCCAGGGCCTGGAGGTCGGGGTGCCGCCCCGGGCTGCATGGCCGGCATGGCCTGGCCGGCCACAGGGGCCCCAGAACGGCCTGCGCCCTCCAAGGCCCTGCCCGGCCCACGCCCTCCACGTCCTTGGCTGGCGCCCGCCGCCGTATCTCAGCCACCAGGCACCCTTCCCAACGCGATCTGGGTTCTGTGGGGCATCCTGGAGACTCTGGGCAGTGAATGGAAAAATCGGGGAGGCCCCCGCCTTCCCAACCCTGGGTGGTGTCCCCCTAGAGCAGCACCAACAGAGGCGAGTCCCTCGGGGCGCCCAAGCCAGGGCTGGGGGCCAGCGGACAGGCTCTGGGGAGAGCGGGGCACAGAGACGGGGCGCCCAGCGGCAGGTGCGGTCACGGGTGACACCCGGGCGCTCAGGAAGGGCTCTGCTCTGGCCCCTCTCCTGCAGTCAGACTCTTCAGCTTACTCTGGAAATCAAAGGCAACCGCCTCCCCGCTGGTCTGTGCAAAGGGGCCGCCCAAGAAGAGGCTCACGTGCTGGGGGGACTCGGCCTCAGCACCCCAGGAGTCGCTGTCTGGGCTGCTGGAGTCCTCCGCCGCGGCAGGCGGGCGGCTGAGCTGCTCCAGCTGGTCCAGGACATCGCAGAACGGGATGGCGCAGCTGCACTGGGAGTGCACGGAGCAGGCGGGGCGGGCGGCCGTGGAGCTGGCCTCGGAAGGGGCGGCCGAGCTGGGTGAGTGCGCGGAGAGCCCGCCGGGCAGGGGCAGGGTGCTCAGGGAGCTGGCCCGCGAGCCGTTGTTTCCCAGCGAGCTGGTCTCCGAGGGGCCCAGCAGGCTGTGCATCAGGCTGGCCCGGGCCTTCACCTCCAGGAGCTCGGCCGTGTCCGCGGGGTGCATGCCCCCCCCGAAAGCCCCTTCCTCCTCGGACTCAGAGCCGGCCTCCGAGGAGCCGGGGTCGGGGCTGGGCCGGGAGGGAGGCCCCCGGGGGCGCGAGCGGCCGAGGGGGGCGGGGAAGGCCCCGGCGTGGAAGGCGATGTCGGCCGGGTCGTCGTCAATGAATTCCTCCAGCACCTGGAGCGTCAGCATCACAGCAGGGCCCAGCCCACGGCCGGCCTGGCCACCCCGGGGCGCCCCCTCGGCAGGGGACGAGCCCACGGGGCCACTGGCCTGCCATCCTGCAGGCCCCCGGGGGCCGCCCCCCGGCTCCAGACAAGCCCTGACACCGTGGCTGGGGGCCGGCGGGGCACAGCCGCCATCGGGGCCTCCGGCGCCAGGGCTCCTCTCTGCAGCTGGCCTCCCGAGGGTGGGGAGCGCCCCGGGCTTGGGAAGGGGGCCGCCAACGTCCGTCAGGCTGGGCTGGCCCGCAGGGGCCGCACAGAAGGGGCTGCTGGCCGAGGACGGGGGAGCAGGCGTCGCGCCCTCGGTGAGCAACATGCTCTGGGGACGGAAATGAAGATGAGGCGCTTGAGAGCCGACGCCTCCGGCCAGCGCTCCCGGCCCCTCGAGCCTGGCCCCAGCACCCGCTGGCCAGCGCCCCTCGCCGAAGCGCCTGGACACGTCTCGGGGGCCCAAGCGCCGCAGGCTGGCCAGCGCCGCCAGGGAGGGGCCGCGGCCTGGAGGCTGGGCAGGGGCTGGGGGCGGGGCCTGCCGGGCTTTCCGACTGAGCCGCGCCTTTCAGAGGCGCCTCCTGGCCGCCCGCCACAGAGCCCGTCGCTGCATGGACGTGTCACGGTGGGCACCGCACAGAAAGCAGGTCCCCTTCTGTGCCATACTGTGGGGTCACCACAGACCTGACTGAGCAGCGGGCGGCCATGTCGGCCTCACCCTCGGCGCCCCCAGCTCAGGGCCGGGCCGAGCGCGCCCCAGGAAGGAGGCGGAGGTGCCGGGCACGCGTCTGCCCTCCCACCCTGACCAAGCTCTCAAGTCTGCGCTGCCCGCCGCGCCGGGACTCGGCGCCCCTGGGGGCTCGCGTTCCCATGGGGACGGCGGGGACTGACCTGCCGCGGCACCTCGGCCGTCGGAGCGGGGACGGGAGTCCGCGTCCTGCTGCGTCTCCTGCAACAGAAGCCCGTGAGCCGCGCCGGCTCCGCCCTCGGCCGCCAGCGGAGATGGGCCAGCCAGAGGACAGCACAGGGGAGGGAGCGGCCGCACCGAAGCAACATGGCCACGCGGAAGGGCCCGCCCAGGGCCCGACTCCAGGTGGCGTGAGGTGGCCCGGGACCCTGCGCCCTGGCCCCCGCCCCCGGCCCTACTCACTGGACCCTGGGCCCTGACCCTGGGGCCCTGCGCCCGGGGGCACGGAGGTGCTCCGGGCATGGAGGCGAAGCAGGACAAAACCCGGGACCTTCGAGAGCCAGACCAGCCCACCCAGGACACGCCCGTGTGCCTGAATGACCCGCACACAAGAAATGTGCTTAATACGCCGGGCGTCGGCCCTCAACGTGCCGCGCCTCACCTCTCATGGGGGGCTCTCTTGGCCCCAGCGTCCCTGACGCGGTCCACCAGCTGCTTCTGGGTCCTGCCGCTGCGGACAGAGGGCAGGTGAAGAGCCAGGAGGGACCAGCAGGCCCCGCGCGCAGGCCGAGCAGCTCTCAGGCTGGTCTCCGGGCCACCCCGGGCCACGCACCTGTATCTGAAGGAGGAGCCCCTGCTGAAGAGCACGACCCTGGCTCTGGGCTGGGGCTGCTCGCAGAGCCGGAAGAAGCTGTGGTGCTCCACGCAGGCCTTCCAGAAGTTCTTGCAGGCGTCCCTGCTGCCCAGCAGGAACTCCAGCGTGTCCTGGTGAGGCCCCTGGGGCAGAGTGTGGGGTCACCAGGTCACAGGCACGGCCGAAGCCCCAGATGGCCCCGTGCCGCTCCTCTGCTCGGCCTCAATACCTCCCTGCCCGCCCCCCCCAGGGCAGGCATGGTCCTGGGGAGCAGAGCAGTGTCCCCCGCGCGTGGCCGGTGCTGCTGGTACCTCCCTCGGTCCAGGGACAGCCTCCCCTAGTCCCTTCCGGGAGCCCAGCAGGGCCTGAGTGGCTGCCCGACCCCACCCCTGCCTGCGCCCAGGCCCAGCTCGCAGCCCCCGCCGCATCTGCCCCCCAGCCCCCTGACGGCCACTCGTCTCAGTGAAGCCACAGCGCTCGGGTGCTGGTCACTGAGCCGCAGGAGGGACGTACCCTCTGACAGCGCCCCCACGGGTCACTGCAGCCAAAGGGGCGAAGCACGGGCCTGCCCATGCGGGGCTCTGGCGGGGACGGCCCAGCGGGTGCCCAGTGCCCGTGCCGAGACGGGCCATAAAGGCCAGAGGCACGTGGCCCACGCGAGCTGCTGTGACTGGCGCCCCCTCACCTGGACCTCGGGATGCAGCTTGACCAGAAACCGCCTCCTCTTGAAGCTCAGCTTGCGGACCCGCGCCCAGTTGAAGGTGTTGATCTTGGTGGTGTTCTGGGGGGACAAGGGCCTGAGTGCCAGCCGCTGTGGCTGCCCGCCCGCCGGGGACGTCTTCCTCAGAGGGAGACTGTCCACTGCTCTTTACGGAGTAAACTCCTGGCGTGTCCCCAGGCCTGCCCTGCCAGGAGGCGGGGCACCCACCCCAGGAGTGGGCACCCCGAGGACCCCCGAGCACTGGCGACCGCACACAGGCCGGGTGGTGGCGGGAGGAGAGGGGTTTCCCGGGGGGAAGGTGAAGAAAGCCAGCCCACTAGCTGCCGGGGGCTGCCAGCCGCGGCGAGGGGGGGGCCCCGCCGGGGTCACATCCTGCCACAGGCCGGCGTCGCTCAAGAAAAGAGAGCTGAGGCCTACAGGGTGCAGCAGAACAGAGACCCAACTCCCCGGCCTCCCGCCACGCCCAGAAACGTGCACGCAGAGGTGCGCGCCCACGTCGCCTGTAGGCGCCGGCTCCCCGCAGGGCGCGCACAGGTGCCCCCCTCGCATCTCCCACTGACGCGCCGCAGGCCAGCAGGGAGCGCGGTGGGACGCCTGCCGGTGGCCTGGACGAGCCCAGCCCTGCAGCGGGCGGGACACGCCGCTCGGGCCGCGTGTGCGCAGGAGCTCGGCCTCTCCTGGTCAGCAGCAGGGCCAGGGGCGGCCCTTGTCCCAGCCTCGCCTTGTGAGGACCCTTAGGACCTGCCAAGGCTGAGCTCGGGGGACATTCGATGAAGGGCCAGGGCGCACGGCGGGCGGGTCCCGGCAGCTCGCGCAGCTTTCCCAGAGCGTCCACTGAGGGCACACACCCTGGCCGCGCTGAACGCCGCCTCTTGGGCACATCTCCCTCCTGTGGCAGCCGAGGAGCCGCTCTGAGCGGGGTGCCCAGGGCCCACAGGACAGGTGAGGTACGGCCGCACCAGACCACGTGCCTGGGCAGGGCCGCCACCCACCTGGAACACGAGGATGCCCGCATGGGCCACCGCCAGGTGGATCCTGGCGCCCTCCCTGTCGGAGGCGGCGTGAAGGCGCACCCCGTACATGGCCAGCTTGCGCGCGATCTCCAGTACCTGGAAGTCGGACTCGGCTGGCGTCTGGCCCCTGTAGGAGACAGCAGGGTCACAGCCGCTTCACCCCGTTCCTGGGGGGCCCCACGCGCCACAGAAGCAAACAGGGCAGCACGCCCAATCTCGGCGCCCAGCACACGGCCCCTGCGTCCGCCTCGGGGGGGTGATGCGCTCGGTGCCCACTGGACGCCAGCCGCGGGCCACGCCCGTCAGGGGAGGCCTGAAGCCACCACGCGGGAGCCCACCGTCCTGCCCCAGACCTGATCTGGTTAGTCGGGTGGCCCCAAGGCGTGGTGACGCCACCTGGCAGTGGCGAGCCACACACCGGCCACCTCGGCCGGCCCAGGAGACCGACCAGAGCGCAGAGCTGCTACCAGGAGGCGGAGGGCGCCAGACCTGCCCCACCTGCAGGCTGTGGGATGGAGTCTCGGAGCCCAAAACCAGCACAACTGCAGGCGCGGCCCCCCCACCCCCCAGGGCGGCCAGCAGCCCCGCCCAGGTGCCCCGGCCAGGTCCATTCAACGGGGACACGTGGGGGGTGAGCCCGGCCTCCCTGCGGCCCTCAGCTGGGTGATCCGCCTTCTCGGCCACACAGCAGAGCCTGGAGGCACCTGGGCGAGGGTGCGACTGTGGGCAGTGAGGGCCGTCCTGGTGGGAGCACAGGAAGGAGTGGCCCCGGGATCCAGACTCGAGTTCTTCTTGCAGGCCCCGGGCCCTGAGGCTTCTTCAGGCTGCCAGGGTGTGGCCCTTGGGGTACAGCCGCAGGCTGGCAGGGGCGGGGGTGCCTGGCTCCTCCTGCGGAATCAGTCCCGGCAAAGCCAAAGGAGGCAGACTGGAGAGACTGGAGACATCTGAGATCGGCCTCAGAGGCGCTGGCCTCCTGGCATGTCCCTGGGCTGGCCTTGGCCCTGCGTGGCCTCCTGTGGCTGTGGCCGGTCCCTCAGGGATGCCCGGGCCCCGCCTTGGCCAGCCCCGCTCTGCCTGGCTCTACCGGGTCTGGGCCCTGAGCCTGTCCGAGGCTGGGACAGAAGCCCCAGAGGACCCTGGCCAGGCCCTGGGCCCCACTCAGTGGGGGTCTGAGGGGCGTTCCGGCAGCACCGCCTGCTCCCCCAGCCTCTTGGCCCTGGGCCCGCCTCCTCCCACCGGCTGGACTAGTGTGCAATGAGGTGGCACCAGCGGCAGGCCTGGGGGGGATGGTGAGCTCTCCTGCCCCAGGGACTCACGCCAGCCGGCGGTGGAACTCGAGCACCGTCTCCAGAGCTCGCTCCTGGCCGGGCAGGTACGCGTTGGCTCTGAGGTGCGCCCGATCCAGGGCCTCGTTGTAATCCCCTATTTCAGCTGAAGGCAGAAAACCACGGTTAAGTATTTCAACTTCTTAATAAAAAACACAAGCGTGTGTACCTGAAAGTACATACAAGCCAGAAAATTTACCCTAAGTCTGGAGCGAAAGCACACGCCCTCCCACACCAGGCCCACGCGAGTCACGCCAGGCCCTTAGCTATGAACTAAGAGGCAGTTGACACTCTCCTCCCCCTGCGCTCACCCCGGACACTCACCCTGCAGCAGATGGGACGTGAGGAGGGCGGCCGTGGTGTCCGAGCAGACCAGACGCCCCTCCAGGAGGTCCCTCTTCAGCTGGAGAGCAAACAGGTACCTGGAGGGGAGCACCAGGCACCACGAGGTCACCTCCACGGCCCTGGACTCTGCCCAGCCCGAGCCCGGTGGCCTATGGGCGCTGGGCGGGCTGTGCCGGCCTTGACGCCCCGGCTCCAGGGTGCCTCGCACACGTGCAGCACGCTGGCGCAAGCACGAGCCGCCCCCACGTTGCCAGGGCAACAGCCAAGATGTGATGCCGACAGCGCTCAAGAGGCCGACAGGCTGAGGGTACCTGGGGCTGCCTGGGGCCTGGGCTGCTCCTGTGGCAGACTCTGCCCTCGGGGTGCACGACCAGCACCAGCGTCCAGGCGCACCGCACCCCAGCATTTCAGGGGGCGGCGAAGGCTGGCCGGGCATGCAGCAGAGGGGGCCGCCTGGCTGGCGCCAGAGCAGGGAGGTCAGTCTGCGCTGCGGACACCACACCTGGGCGCGGGGTCAGCTCCGCGGGCCAGCGAAGCAGACCGTCTGCTTTTGCACTCGCTGCAGTTGGCGGGAGAGTTTCTCTTCTACCACAAACGTGCACTGTCTGCAGACGAGGGAGGCCTGGCCCGCGGCCGGCGCCAGTCTCTGGTTCCTGGAGTGTCGGGGCACTGCGCCCACGAGGCCGAGCCCTGCCTCAGCGTCCTGGCCGAGAGCGGGGGACCTAGGGCGGCCTCCCCGCGCCACTCCCCTGCCCCCCGCCCCCGCCGGCCTCTTCTGTCTCGCCTGATGCTGGGTTCTGAGTGGTTTTCATCCTTGGCCGTCAGAGTGGGACGTGCGAGGCACCCAGAGGAACGCGAGCCCCGCCCGGGTGCGGACGCCCTCACCACCTCCGGCCCTTGCCCCCGCGGACTCTGGATCCCGTGCCCCCATCCCACCTCTGCACCCACCTCCTGGCCTCTGCCCGGTGGCCCTCCCCGCCCAGGCCAGCACTCGGGTCTGTGCCAGGCTCCTGCGTGCCCGGAATCCGGCGCTGGCCCCCTCCCTGCCCGCGCCCACGGGCCCTGCCCACCCACCGAGTGTGCTCTTCCTGCAGCTGGCCAGGGTCCGGCGGGAAAAACTTCACGGCCAGGCGCAGCATAGCGTTCTTCAACCCTGTTGGGGAGAATTTTCCAGCTTCTCAGGGGCGGTCCAGTGCTGGGTCGGCGGTCTCCCCACTCACAGGCACCGAGCTGCACTCCAAACGCGCTATGACGGATCTTTCAGGGCCTCCCTGGGGGCGCGGCCTGAGTTCAATCCCGGCCAGGGAGCTGCCCACAGGGCATGGCAGACCCCTCCTGTCTCCCTCCGCTGCCCTCGGCAGGGGGTTTCAGCGGATTCGCCTGTTCTGCTTCTTGCTCTGTCTCTGGGGAGTCCTCTCACCCCCTGCGCCTCTGCACCCCAGCTCTTGTGCGCATAAAGTAAATCTTAAAAAAAAGTCTTTCAAATGAGACATCGAGGTATTTTTTATGCATGAAATTCCAAGACCCTAAGCAACAGTCTCACACGGTGAAAAATTCAGACTTTTGCATTAAGTAGGATCTCAGTGAGACCCGAAAAACAAGCAGGGGACTGCCCGTTAAAAAATTTAAATATGGGCCTCCCCGGTGGCGCAGCGGTTGAGCGCTGGGTTGCGAAGCTGCCCGCGGCCTCTGCGGCGCCGGTTCGATCCCCGGCTGCTCCCCGGCCACCGGAGGAGGGTCCCACATGGCACGCGGACCTCTCCTGCCGCCCGCTGCTCCCCTCAGCAGTGTCCTTCGGTCCTTCTGCCTGCTCTGCCCCCCGCTCTGGCTCTGGGGGATCCTCTCACCTCCCGCGCTTCTGACCGTACCCGGTGCTTGTATGTATGTACGTATAAATCAATCAACCAACCAATAAATCTTTAAAAAAAATTTAAATATATTTCCATCTATACATTTTAGGATTAAAAGGCGAGGCAGAGGAGAGGTGCTCATGGCGCGGGCGGTGGCGAGGACCACTTCTTGGCGGCGCCCTCTCGGGCTGTGGCGAAGGCCAGCGCTGACCGGGACAGCAGGAGAAAGGGGTTTTCAAAAAGGGCCCGTTGGCTAAGACGGGACGGCTGCCTTCAGGGCCTTAGCTTGTGGGGGTGACAAGGAAGCTTCCGCACGTTCCTGTCTCCCCGATTCAGCGCAGAAGAGGACCCCGGAGAGCGCGGGTGACGGGGGGAGCTCTGTCTAAAGCAGTGGTGACGCCGGGGACCGAGTCGCAGCCGGGCCTGTGCTCAGGCATGGGCACTCGTCCCTAAGGGCTAAGGGGAATCCTTTTTTTTTTTTTAAAGATTTATTTATGCTACGAGAGCTGGCACAGGCCAGAGGGGTGGGGGTGAGAGGACCCGCCAGAGACAGAGCGGGGAGCAGAACAGGAAACACACTGCTGAGGGGAGCAGGGGGACAGGAGGGTCAGCTGTGCCTGTGAGTCACTTGGGGGCGGCAGCCGGAGGCGCTGACTTTAACCCCTGCGCCCCCAGGGAGGCCCCTCAGGAGAATTCCTACACTAAAAAAGTTTAGTCCGCTTGGAAGAAGCGCGCAGGGGTGGGTGAGAACCAGGCGCCTCGGTGACAGACTCAACACAGACGGGGCCGGGCGTCCCGCCTCCGCCGCGGCCACGCTGTATCACAGGGCGGCGTCCACCTTCCACCACGAGGGCCTCGGCGTCCTGTGCCGGCCCAGACGCCCAGCGAGGCCCCAACGCAGCGGGCAGTGGCCGAGCCGCTGGGCCCAGGCCTGCGGAGCCCCTCCCTCGGCAGCCCGGGCTGCGGCGCCCCAGAGCAAAGCGGGACTTACTTCGAACTTGCCTGGCCACAGGCTTCCCGGGCTCCAGCCACACCTGCAGAGGGAGGGAGCGGTGAGGCCCAGCGGCCCGGCCCGCCCCCGGGCTGCTGCAGCGTCCTTCAGAGATGCGGGTGCCCACGGCCTGGACCTCAGACCTGGGAGCCCTGCAGCGGGGGAGGGGGTGCTGTCTGCGGCCACCACACTCACCCAAGAGCCCCGCGCGTCCTGCAGCTCCAGCCCGAAGTACTCGCCCTCCGCCAGGTTCAGCCGCTTCCACACCTGGGTCAGCAAGGCCTGGCCGCAGCCCTTGGGCTGTGAAGGGGTGCGGAGGGGGGCAGGGGATGGGGACAGGAGGGCCGGGTCAGGAGGGGGCGGGGCGAGAAGCGGCAGAGGTTAAGCTGCGTGGACAGGAGGACACAGGCCGCGCACAGAGCCATTGCTGGGCGGAACCAGCAATCGTCGGGTCCAGCAGCCGCCGTGGGCCGTCCTTTGCGTGCGCAGGTGTGAGGGCGGAACCGAAAGCCACCCCCCGGGGCCAGCTGGCCGCAGAAGCCCTTTCAGTAGCTGGTGGAGGTGCTCGGGAGGGGTCGGGCCCGGCCGCCCGGCGTCCCCAGTGCACCCCGCCCTGTGTTCCCGCGGGCCCGGCTGCGCAGGGGCCTCTGGCCAGTCCTGGCGTCCCTAACACCTTCGCTTCTACCTCCGATGCGCAGCCCCCAGGGAGGACCTCGTGGTCAGCGCCCAGTACCTACTGGGCACCCACAGGCGCTGCCAGGGCGCAGCACCCTCGGGCGGGCTGACGCCCGCAGCTGCCCTTCCCTGCCCCGCCTTCCCGGCCGGCCGCGCATGCAAGTCCTGCTCCAGCTTCCCCATGAAGCGCACGGTCACGGCTGCTGCCTGCAGGGCCTCGCCTGCAGCCTCCCCCTGGGCTGGCGACACCTGGGGGGGTCTCAGCTGCGCCCAGCTGCCTCCCGGCAGGCCCCATCTGCACGTACCCACACCGAGGTCACCCCGAGTTCCCTCCGGAGGACACCCCAGTGGCCCGGCATCGAGTGCCTGGGAGCTGCAGCGACACTCATTCCGGACCCTTGCAAAGGTGACCGCATCTTCAGAGGCATCCATTCTCGGGCACACTCCGCCGCCCCCAACCCCCTGCGCTGTCCCCGCACCCCAGCCTCTCTGCTGCCCCACCCTCCTCCTTGGCTTGGCTGCGCCCTCGTCTCTTTCCCAGGCTGGCGGGTCCGGGAGGGCACTGGGGGGGCCGCCGGAGGCCGGGGTCCTCCGTGTCTGGAGCTTGGGGTTTTCCTGCCATGAGCATCGCCTGACCTCACGCCCTCCCTGGCCCGTGGGCCTGGACCTCCACTCCACTAGGTGGGGGCTGCTGCCCCTGCCCCCAAAGCCTGGGGAGCCCTCCCCACGCACCAGGTGTACTCGCCCCTCCCGGGGCTGAAGCTAGACCGTCCCAGGGGTTGCCCCCGGAGGGTGCTGCTGAGGATGGGCCCAGGAAACTGGGAACGCTGTGGTGGTGGGGGCCGTGGTAGGAAATAGAAGGAGCAGCAGAAGCACCCCCGGGGTTCACTGTGCGGGATGCAGCATTTTCAGGTCTTCAGCAATTCAGGGTCAGCGATTTCGGCCCCCACCATGTGCATCTTCCAGAGGCTGGTGCGGGCTCCGAAGGACGGGGGGAGGCATCCGGCGGCCAAGCCCGGAGAGCAGGGGTTCGGGGCTGTGCTGCTGTCCCGGCGGAGGGGAGGCCGGGCGGGGCCCCCGAGCTGCGTGTGGCGCTGTCGGGCTGCTGGGCCGGCGTCTGGAGTGTCCCTGTCCAGGGCTGTGCAGGGGCGTCCAGCCGTGTCTCCTGCTGTCTGGTGAGGTGGAGCCGCCTGTTGTGTGGCTGCTGCGCTGGGGCCGCCATGCCAAGTTGCGGCTATCTTGGGAGCCTTTGTGCTCAGGACTTTAAAGCACTGACCACGGCTTCGGGGGCGGGAATCGGCCATTTGTGGCCTCAGTCTCTGTTCCCCTGGCTTGTTAAATTAACCCCGTGTTGCTGCTCTCGGAGCTCGCGTGGTCTGCGCCTGTGCTCGGGTGAGGCGCTCGGATGTGACCGGTCAGCTACCTGGGCACGTCCCCGGCCAGTGCCCCCGCTGCCCGGGTCAGGCTGACAGCTCGGGGGCAGGCCCTGCAGCTCCTGCAGCCCCAGCGTCTCCAGCCTGGATGCCTCATGGAGGCCGTGGGGGCGGGGCAGTGCAGGTGGGGGGGTGCGGGCGGCACAGAGCAGAGCAAGCCCCCGCCCTGCGCGCGGGCGGTGCTCCTGAGCACCAGGTCTGCAAGCAGCGGCGGCGGCGGGAGCAAGGGCGGCTGTCCGTCTTGGTGAAGGAAGAGCCTGTCCCGGGCTTGGCTGTGGCTCCTGACGCGCTCGCGAGGAAGCCAAGAGGCCAGGGGCCTTCAGGAGCCGGGCGCCCCGGCCATGAACGGAGCCTTTCAGGAGAGGCTGGTGCCGGGTGGGGCGCACGGGGGGCCGACCCTGTCTGGGGGTGCAGCCCCCACTTGGCTTTGAGGGCTCAGGACAGCCCGAGGTGCTGGGCTCGGGGCTGTGGGTGGGTTCTGGACGCAGCGGTTCTGCATTCCGGACTTTCTAACCGTTTTAATTATTATAAAGTCGGGAGCCCGTGGGGCTGTGTGGGCACCCCAGAGATCTTCCCCGCGTCATTTTTTATTTATTTATATAAAGATTTATTTATGCATGCATACAAGAGCGGGGTACAGGCCAGAGATGTGGGGGTGAGAAGACTCACCAGAGACAGAGCGGGGACCAGAACAGGCAGACTGACTGAAACCCACTGCTGAGGGGAGCAGCGGGGAGGCAGGCGAGGTCTGCTGCGCCCTGTGGGTTGCTCCCTGGGTGGGGATGGGGAGGTGGGGTCTGCAGGGGCACGTGGTCCCCCTGAGTTCTGGGCCCTGAGGCCCGGTCTGTGCCTCCCAGGGGAGGGGACGAGCCCTCAGTGCCACGGGCACCCCCTGCACCCCCCAGGCGGCAGGTACCCGAGGGCGCAGGGAGGGATGGAGGCGCACCGGGAGCTGCCCTGGAAGGCTCCGTCGCAGGAGGAGGGGCTCCCAGGACCCCCAAACCTGCCCACCCCAGGCGGTCCCGCCGCCCACTGCATCCTGTCAGCCCTTCGCCATGGAGCAGGCCCAGAGCAGGCCCAGCGCCGGGACCTCAGGGCTCAGCACCCCACCCCACCCCCACCCAGCGGGAACACGGGGAGGGCCGGGCGGGCAGCCTGGGAAGAAAGAGCCAAAGCAAAGCCGAGTCAAGGCAAAGGCCGTGGCTGCTCTCCCGTGTCCCCTCATGTCCCCCGCACGCCCCCGGCCAGAAACCACCAGCCTCTTCACGCGCCCCTGTTCCCACGCCCCCCCAGGCCGGCTCCCTGACCCTCACCCTCCCCACCTCCCAGGCAGAAACAGAGCTCCAAGGTCCAGGCTGGAGATCGGGCAGCTCCGGGCTTGTCCCACTTCTGGGGCACCCACCCTCCCTTCTGATTGGTCCATTCAACCGTGCTGGCGCCCAAGGGGGCTGCCCACAGCAGCAGCTTTTGTGGGACCTAGGTAAGCCCACCACGTTCTTCTAGTGGTTCTGCTGCTTAAGTGGCAGGAAGAAGAACGCCAGCTTCGCCCTGCAGGCCACACCGCGGTGGGTCACTGGCCTCGGGACCAGGAGGAGGCGGGGCCCGCAGGGGTGGCCTGCCCGCGCTGCCGTCGGGGCTCCCACGCACCCCACGGGGCCCCGTCCGGGCCGGGTCCAGGACACAGACCTACTTCCCAGGCTTCCCAGGACAAAACCAATAGTTTTGGGGCGTGTGGGGCATGTGCCCCCGACTGCAGCTGACGGATGAGCTGAGGTCAGGCAGCAGCAAGGCCCGCGGCAGGTCACTGTCCGTGTTTGGGCTGCTCGCGTGGGAGAGTGAGTGACGACGTCTGCCGGGGCGCTTTTTGGAACCCGGCTATGGAGTCCTGGCAGGAGGAAAACACCCGCTTCCCTGGGAAGGGCGACTGTGCCACCCAGCGGGCCGGTGTGACGGGCGACAGGCGCCTCCCCACCACCGAGCCTGGGGAAAGGGAAGGGACGCCCACGGGGCGCGGGGTCAGTGGACGCAGCCAACAGTGGACATGCTCAGCGATGCTGGCCTCAGGCCCCGCCCCGCCCAGGGGCTCCCCCCACACACCCAGGGGCCCCCAGCCAGATGCAGAAGCAGCTCTCCTCCCAACGGGTAGCGCTCGCCTGCCCAGCCTGGCTGACCCACCTGCCCCGTAGACCTCGGCCCCGACAGGAGGGCCTGGGCCCAGGGCTCTGCCTTATCCCTGGAGCAAACCCAAGTGTTTCAAAAATAAACAGGGCCTCCCTGGGGGTGCAGGGATTAAGACGCAACCTATGAAGCTGTCCGCAGCCTCTGCAGCACGAGTTTGATCCCCGGCTGGCCAGGGAGCTCCCCACATGGCGCAGCAGACCTCTCCTGTCTCCCCGCTGCTCCCCTCAGCAGTGTACTTCGGTCAGTCTGCCTGTTCTGCTCCCCACTCTGCCTCTGGTGAATCCTCTCACCCCTGCACCTCTGGCCTGCACCCCAGCTCTTGTATGCATAAATAAATACGTAGATTTATTTATTTACAGAAGCGCTGGGCACAGTCGGAAGCGCGGGAGGGTGAGAGAATTCACCAGAGCCAGAGCGGGGGACAGAACAGGCAGACTGACGAAGGACACTGCTGAGGGGAGCAGCGGGCATGGCAGGAGAGGTCTGCGCGCCATGTGGGACCCTCGCCGGTGGCCGGGATCGAACCGGCGCTGCAGAGGCTGCGGGCAGCTTCGCAGCCCAGCGCACAACCGCTGCACCACCGGGGAGGCCCAATAAATAAATCTTTTAAAAATAAATAAATAAATGGTATCAAATTCTTCCTGAGCTGAAAAGGTCCCCAGCATAAGCCGTCCCCGTCCCCGTGGCAGAGGGGTGCGGAGGTGTCCGTATCTGGCGTCTGACGCCGCTCACCTCTCCCTTGTTCCTGAGCAAGGCCCCCCCTCCCCGCGCGGCTCCGCATGGAGCCCGAACCCAGGGTTCAAGCCACCCTCACATCAGTGCCTGTGGGGTGGGGCGCGCGGAGGCCGCAGACCACCAGCGCCTGGACTTCGCCTCGGGTGCCGGGCGCAGTGGCCACGGGAGACAGCAGGGAGGCTGCTGGGGGGCCCCAGCGGGTCCCCTGGCCAACCAGCCCGCACTCCCGGCAGAGGCAGGTTCCCGGCGCTCCGCCCCAGGGGCGCTCTGGCCTCCCTGAGCCAGTGCCCTCAAGCCGGGCGGACGCCAGACGGCACTCCCCCGCCAAGAGGCGCACCCTCTGCCTGGAAAGCCCCGGCCAGCTCTGGGGTGCTGGGAGCCCCGGCGAGGCAGCTGTGGGACAGTTCTCAGTGCGGCCTCGCCCGCCACGCTGACCAGCTGTGGACACTCTGGAAGTCTCGGAAGAAGCAAGCCCTGATTTTCTCAAGCACCACAGGCCAGCCCCTCGGAAGCCACTTTCTCGGGGAAGACGCCTGCCCAGGTGGAAGTGAAATGCTCCCCCCGCCTGGTTTTCCTTGGGAAGGACGACTCACCCACCCCAGGGACGTTCTGAAAGCAGGTGCCGGGAGCCGCCCTCCTTCCCGCCTGGCCCTTCCTTTCTGTTCTTCAGAGACAGGCTGCCCGCCCTGCCCGGCCGGCGCAGCACACCCGCGGCTGCAGCCCCGCGCTGCTCTCCCACACTGCCCGAAGAGGTTGGGGGCCAGCCGACCCCCGAGACCTCTGGCCTCTTTCCTGCAGGTCCATCCAGCCCCAGGTGAGACCGGAAGCGCCGGCCCTCAGCTGGTCTGGAGCTCGCAGGCACCTGGGAAGCGGGTGGACCAGTCCTGCGGGCGCAGCGCCCCGCCCGCACCCCAGCCTCGAGGAGAGCCGGGCGCACCAGGCAGGGCTCAAGCTCATCCCCGGCCTCCCTCGCCACCAGCACGCCACGGCCTTGCCCACAGCCCAGCTGCCCTGGCTTCCCGCGTTGGCCGCCGGCCCCCTGGACGGCGCCCCCAGCCCAGCCTACCGCCCTGACTTCGTGGCGGCACGGCAAAGCGCCTGAAAACGTGACTTTACACCCGCACGAGAACATCAGGAAGAAGAGGAGGTGCTCGGGCGCCATCTGAGGATGAGGGGAGGGTTTTTAAAGACACTCGGAGGCCGCCTGGCATCAGGACGGGTGTTGAGCGAGCCTGGGTGCCCGTGGACCTCCGCCAGCTGCCCTGGGCCCCCCCCAGGAATGTTCTTTCCTGACCTGGAGCCGGAGCTGCCCCGGCTCCACCTACACGCCCCGCGGAGGGCAGCCCCGCTGGGCAGCTCAGGCCAGGGCGCCGGTCGTGGCATCTGCGGGGTGCTGGGCACCGGCGTGTTCCAAACCCAAAGGGCAGCGGAGCCGGTGGTGGCCTCCGCGTGAGGGCAGGTCAGCCCGACGGCCGGCAGAGACCGGGCTGTGGACACGCGAGGCCACGCTCCTTACCTCCACGCCGAAGGTCTCCACCGAGCCGTCCAGCAGCTGGACACTGAGGAGCAGGCGCCGCTCCCGCTCATGGGGAGCCCTGGGCTCCAGGGTGTGGGCGCCCAGGGGAGTCCCCGGCTTCGGGGGCAGGGCGCGGTAGGTGCCCGCGGTGTCCCCCATCCTCCGCAGCTGCAGGTGCGGGAAGAGACAGCGGATGGTGATGCCGGCTCTTCAGGCAGCGCCGCCCGGCCTGGCTCCCAGGTCCCCCGGCCGAGAGCGGCGCAGTGACCAGGGTTCCACGCGGGCGGGTAGCGTGGGGCGCGCCCCGGCAGCGGCCTCTGCGCGTGGGCCCCGCCCCAGGGCGCAGGACGACAGCGGCCTCTGCCCGGCAGCCTGTGCCCGCGGCAGCCTCTGTGCCCGCGGCAGCCTGTGCCCGCGGCAGCCTCTGTGCCCGCGGCAGCCTGTGCCCGCGGCAGCCTCTGTGCCCGCGGCAGCCTGTGCCCGCGGCAGCCTCTGTGCCCGCGGCAGCCTGTGCCCGCGGCAGCCTGTGCCCGCGGCAGCCTGTGCCCACGGCAGCCTCTGTGCCCGCGGCAGCCTGTGCCCGCGGCAGCCTGTGCCCGCGGCAGCCTCTGTGCCCGCGGCAGCCTCTGTGCCCGCGGCAGCCTGTGCCCGCGGCAGCCTGTGCCCGCGGCAGCCTCTGTGTCCGCGGCAGCCTGTGCCCGCGGCAGCCTCTGTGCCCGCGGCAGCCTGTGCCCGCGGCAGCCTGTGCCCGCGGCAGCCTCTGTGCCCGCGGCAGCCTCTGTGCCCGCGGCAGCCTGTGCCCGCGGCAGCCTGTGCCCGCGGCAGCCTCTGTGCCCGCGGCAGCCTGTGCCCGCGGCAGCCTGTGCCCGCGGCAGCCTCTGTGCCCGCGGCAGCCTGTGCCCGCGGCAGCCTGTGCCCGCGGCAGCCTGTGCCCGCGGCAGCCTGTGCCCGCGGCAGCCTCTGTGCCCGCGGCAGCCTGTGCCCGCGGCAGCCTGTGCCCGCGGCAGCCTCTGTGCCCGCGGCAGCCTGTGCCCGCGGCAGCCTGTGCCCGCGGCAGCCTGTGCCCGCGGCAGCCTGTGCCCGCGGCAGCCTCTGTGCCCGCGGCAGCCTGTGCCCGCGGCAGCCTGTGCCCGCGGCAGCCTGTGCCCGCGGCAGCCTCTGTGCCCGCGGCAGCCTGTGCCCGCGGCAGCCTCTGTGCCCGCGGCAGCCTGTGCCCGCGGCAGCCTGTGCCCGCGGCAGCCTCTGTGCCCGCGGCAGCCTGTGCCCGCGGCAGCCTGTGCCCGCGGCAGCCTCTGTGCCCGCGGCAGCCTCTGTGCCCGCGGCAGCCTGTGCCCGCCTCTGCAGCCCAGAGGCCCCGGGGCCCGCCGCCAGCGGGGAGGGTCCACCGGAGGAGCGCACGGGCCGGCCGGCCTGCCCAGGGCTGACGGGCCGCCCTGGGGCAGGAGAGTCGTCCCCCGAAGGCCACTGGCCCTGGACCGGGAGCCGGTCACGGAGGGGGCGGGCCGCAGGGCCCCGCCCCGCCCCGCCCGTCCCATCGCTCCGGCCCCGCCTCCCGGTCCCCGCCCGTCCCATCGCCCCCGGCCCCGCCCCGCCCCCCCCACATCGCTCCGGCCCCGCCTCCCGCCCCCCCCCCCCCCCCGCCGTCCCATCGCCCCCGCCCCGCCCCGCCCCGCCCCCGGCCGTCCCATCGCCCCGGCCCCGCCCCCCACCGTCCCGCCCCGACGCCCCGGCCCCGCCCCGCCCCCCGCAGGGCGCTCAGCCTCACGCCTCGGGGCGGGCGCCGGGGGCCCGCGCAGCGGGGGGCGCGGGGGGCCCGGCTGGCCGGGAGTGTGTAAACCGGGGTCCAGCCCCGCGGGCCCGAGACCAGAGCCCGCGGAGCTGCCGGCGGCGGGCGCGCCCCCCCGGGCTCGGGGCCTCCCAGCCGCGGACCCGCCTCCTCCGAACCCGCGCGCCCCAGACGCGCCTTCCCTGGGGGCCCCGCCGGCCGCCGGGGCTCCGCCCGGGGACGCTCCCCGCACCGCACCGCGCGCGGCCCGCCCCGAAGGCGGGTCCCCGAGAGGCTCGCCCTTGGGGGGCGGCGGGAGCCGGCAGGCGGGGGCGCCCGGGGGCGCCGGGCCGCGTCCGGCACAGGGGGCCGCGCTCTCCCCGAGCCCGCGCGGTCGGCAGAGGCCGAGGCCCCGGCGGCTCAGCTCTGCGGGCGGCGGAGAGCAGCGCCCAGCGGGCCGGCCGCGGGGTCCCGCCCAGCCGAGGGCGCACCGGGCCCGGGCCGGGGGGGTCGCGCTGCACCCCGGGCTCGGCACCCTCCTGGCTTCGACCTGGAAGCGGCCGTCAAGCCCGGCCCAGCGGGCAAGTGCCCGCCCCAGAGGACCTGCCTCTCCCCCTCGCGCCTGTGCCCGGCGCCTCCCCCACCCGCAAGCCTGTCCACTGCGTGCTCGGCGGGGCGGCCCTGGGGTGGGGGGTCTGGGGGAGCGGCACCGGCCGCCCCCAGCCCGCGCCGCCGCCTCGCCAGACCAGCGGGGGCCGAGCTCTCGCCGGCCGGGGCCTGGCCGCCCATGACAGCGCCGCGGGCAGCAGCCCCAGGACGGGCACGAGCCAGGGGCGCTGGCAGCGGCGAGGGCGGAGGGGCGGCCGCGCGGCGCGGAGGCGCCGGCCAGGCTGCGGGCTGAGCTTCCACCGCGGCAGCGCGACGCCGCGCGGGAGTCCGGTGCCGGTCACGGCGCCCCCGTCGCGCCGCTCGCGCTCCGCGTCCCCGGCAGCTGCTCCGCCCGCGCCCCGCCCGCGGGCCAGCGCCAGCGCGGGAGACGAGGGCGGCGGGGACGGGCCGCGGGCCGCGGGGGGAGCGGGCGCCGCCGCCGGCCGGAACCGGGGCCTCCTGCGCTGCGAGGGGCGGCGCCCCGGCCGCGCCCTCCCGCCGGGGAAGCCCAGGCCCGGCGCCCGCGGGAGGCCGGTGTCGTCGGCGCGGGAACCGCAGGGACGCTCGGCGAACGGACGGCCCCGCCCCGCAGAGGCGGGGCCCCCCGGGGCGCCGGGCACCCCGCCCGGCCGCCCGCTCCAGCCTCGGCCGCCTGGGGGTGGGCGCCCGCGGGCGGGCCGGCCCTCGTGCAGCCCGGCCGCGCCGCCCGTTCCCGGCTCCCGCCCAGGCGAGCCCGCCCGCCGCCCGCCAGGCCGCCGGCGCCCGCGAGGGCGGCAGGTGGGGGCCAGGCCCGGCCCGCCCGCCCGCGGAGCCGCCTTCGCGGCTCTTCCCCCGCCGCTCCCGCCTCCCACGCGGCTCCCGGGAGGGCCGGACGGGGTCCCGGCCCGCAGGCCGCCCGCCCGCGGCTCCGCCTCCACGTGGACACTCGCGCCCGGCCGGCCCGTCACCCCGCGGGACACTCGCGCCCGGCCGGCCCGGGCTCCGGCGGGCGGCCCGGCCCGCGGCCTGCGGAGCACAGGCCCCGCCCGGCCCCGCCCGGCCCTCCCGCCGGGCCCGCCCCGGCGGCCTTCGGGCCGGCGCTTCGCCTCCGCCGGGCGGCCGTGCTGGGCGCGCCGGGCCTCGCCCCCGCCGCCGGCCCCCGGCTCCGCGCCCGCCCGCCCGCCGCGAACTCCCCGCCGCCCCCCGGCTCCGCGCCCGCCCGCCCGCCGCGAACTCCCCGCCGGCCCCCGGCTCCGCGCCCGCCCGCCCGCCGCGAACTCACCGCCGGCCCCCGGCTCCGCGCCCGCCCGCCGCCGCGAACTCACCGCCGGCCCCCGGCTCCGCGCCCGCCCGCCGCCGCGAACTCCCCGCCGGCCCCCGGCTCCGCGCCCGCCCGCCGCCGCGAACTCCCCGCCGGCCTCCGGCTCCGCGCCCGCCCCGCCCGCCGCGAACTCCCCGCCGGCCCCCGGCTCCGCGCCCGCCCGCCCGCCGCGAACTCCCCGCCGGCCCCCGGCTCCGCGCGCCCGCCCGCCCGCCGCGAACTCACCGCCGGCCCCCGGCTCCGCGCCCGCCCGCCCGCCGCGAACTCACCGCCGGCCCCCGGCTCCGCGCCCGCCCGCCGCCGCGAACTCCCCGCCGGCCCCCGGCTCCGCGCCCGCCCGCCGCCGCGAACTCCCCGCCGGCCCCCGGCTCCGCGCCCGCCCGCCGCCGCGAACTCCCCGCCGGCCCCCGGCTCCGCGCCCGCCCGCCGCCGCGAACTCCCCGCCGGCCTCCGGCTCCGCGCCCGCCCCGCCCGCCCCGCCCCGCCCCGCCCCGCCCCCGCGCCGCGCGCCCCGTCTGGGGCCCCGCCCCCGCCCCGCGGACGCGCCGCCGATTGGCCTGCGCCCCAGTGGGCGGGGCCCACCTCGCTCGCCTCGAAGAACGCCGGGTTCTGGTTGGACAACGGACTGGGAGGGGGCGGGCGTGGGCGGGCCCGCGGCGTCTCGCGCAAACCTGCGCAGCTGATCGCGCCGGGCGGTGGCTGGGGCGGGGCTTGGTCCCGGGGGCGGGGCGGGGCTTGGTCCCGGGGGCGGGGCGGCGGCTGGGGCGGGGCTTGGTCCCGGGGCGGGGCGGCAGCTGGGGCGGGGCTTGGTCCCGGGGGCGGAGCGGCGGCTGGGGCGGGGCTTGGCCCCGGGGGCGGGGCCTGGCCGCCGGCTGGGTCGCCCGCGCCGCTTGGTCCCCGATCGCTCCCCTCCCGCGCCCCCCCGGGCTAAGGGCGGGCGCCCAGGCGCGCGGAGGTCGCGCGGCGGCGGGTAGCCCCGCGAGGAGGGCCCCGGGCCCCCAAACTGCGACGCTCGGGGACGCGGGCCCCGGCCCTCAGGGCTCCAGGGGCCGCCCGCCCCGGGATGGGATGGGCGGGCCTCACGCCGAGGGGGCTGCGGCCTGCAGGCCCCTTGCCCGGGGTGGCCCCGAGCGCAGCCCCGTGGCCCCCGAAGCTGCACGGGGTGGGGGGCAAGCCCAGGGCCAGGCAGGACGCTGGAAAGGACGGACCGGCTGGCGCTTCGCAGCCCAGGAGGGGGCGGCCGGGAGGCAGCAGGCGGGCACCCAGGTCGGGCTGTCCAGTTCCAAGGTGCCCCCCCCAGGGGCAGAGGCGGCCGCTCCGGCAGGGCTGCGCTGGGGGCGCCCCTGCAGCCCCGCCTCCTGCCGCCCCGGGGCTCCGGCCTCGCCTCCCCTGAGTCCAGCAACGACGGCCACTCTCCCGGCATCCGAACCATAGTGCTTTATTAGTAAGTGTAAGTCTCAGTGGGTACAAAACCGTGGTGTAAAACGCGTTTTCAAAAAACATTTCTATAGGAAAACATGACCCCCAGTGAAAGAGCAACGACTACCAGCAAAGGCCTGTATTCGGGTTTGAGCAGGAAAGAGGAAGCCCAAACCCACAGGGGCTTGACAGTGAAAGGGCAAAACCTTCGCGGGGGGCAAGGACCCGACGGGCTTGAGCCCAGCACCAGAGGGACGCGGCCGCCTTGGCGGCCGCAGGAAGCCCATGAGCCAGGGCCCTCAGCACTGGGCTCCCGGCCAGGCCTCGGGCACAACTCTCGCCGAGGACACTTGCGCCTGGACCCCAACCTCATTCTCTGACCCAAACACAAACCCGCCACCCACATCTGCAGCTTGAGCCTCTCCGCCTCGCCCTCCCGCTGCAGGAAGCAGGGAGCGCTGGCCCTGCGCCCTGGGGTTGCCCTCCCTCCTGGGGTCCAGCTTCCCACCACCAGTGGAAATGCTGAGGGGTCCCCTGGGGGGCACCAGGAGGTGGGGGACCGAGCACGGACAGGGTGGCCTTGGCCGGGCAGAGGGGCCCAGGCCTCGCCCGCGCCAGGAGGGACAGTCACACCCGAGGACCCTCGCTGCCACTGTCCCCGTGGAAAATCGCTCGGGAGGGAAAGCCCAACCCAGGGCAAGCCAGGCTGAGCCGGCATAGGGGTGCGGGGCAGGGCTGGGCAGGAGCCATGACCACAGGGCTGATGGCACACACCCCCAGGCAGCGTGAAAACACAGCCCGGCCACCTGCTTCCAAGGGGCGCGTCTAGATTTGGCAGAGTGACCCCAGTGGGCGGGCAGGTGAGAGGTGGGTGCGTGGGGCCCGAGCACCAGACTCAAGCCCTTCCCCACGCCCCTGTGGGAACTTGGCACCTGTTCCCCGCCTGCGGGTCTGAGAATAACCTGATTCTGGTATCACAGACTCCATGAGGCCCAGCCAAGCACCCATCATTAGAAAAGCTCCTGGAGCCTGGACATCGGCTGCACGTGGGGGACCTGTGCAGGTGGCCACAGGGAGGGCTCTGGGGGGTGTGTGTGTCATAGGACTCTGACCCACCACTCGGGGACCCCCGGGCTGGTCGGGATGTTCCGGTACATACCCGGAAAGCACTGGCTGGTCGGGGCGGTCAAGGCACCAGGGCAGCAGGGCAGGGGGAAACTGGGCAGAGAAAGTCCCCATCGCTGGGCACAGAGTGTAGCACAACCGCAAGTACAAAGGTTAAGACTTCATACAAAGTAACACGTCAAAAGGTTAAAAGTTAAATTCTCAGGCACTGCTGTGGGATGGGGGGAGTCCTGGTGCAGCTGCTCCTCAAGGGAAGCCTCTTCCTCCGGGGCTGGGGCTTTCTGGAAAACGGAGACGGGCAGCTTTAATGGGCAACAGCACAGAGCGGGGTGCTGAGGTGACGCTGCTGCAATCGTGCACACGAAGTTCAAGGGGAGCAGTGAGGCTAGAGGCAGCGTGGCCCCATGGCTGCCCCGAGGCACCGGCCCGTACCTGACCAGCCGGGCGACCAGCGGCCGTGCTGTCCACCAGGCAACAGCAGCCCCAGCCTGACTCCAGCTCCTGAGGCTGCACCAGATGGCGGGTGGTTGGGGCACGCAGACGACCCAGGCCCCCACTCCGCTGGTCGCCAGCGTCCCTCGTTGGGGAGGACTTCAGCTCAGGCTCTGGTCAGCCCTCTAGTGTTGCTAAGCCTGGGGCACCCATGCCGGCGGCCCCCACCTCCCCAGGCCCCTGGGGCGGGGATGGACTGGCCTCCGCCTGGGCCTTGGAGCAGCCCAGCGAGGCTCTGGGGCCATGGCAGAGCTGGGGGTGGCCGGGTCCCCTCCACAGCACCCCTCCTTTTGGCCCCCACAGGCTAGGTCAACAGGCTTCCATTCCCCTTCAATAAATATCCAACTAAACGGCTAATAAAAGACCCTCTAACATGCAGCTTCCCTTCTGCGACAAACGCGCCGGCCACGCTCCCCCCAGCCTGGCCCACCGAGCTCACCTCACACGTGGTGCCCATGCACCCCGCTGTCGCCATCGCCCCCCTGCATCTGCGCCTGCATCTGCGCCTGCATCCGCGCGATCATCTCCTGCATGCGGCGGAGCTGAGGGGCGACCGGGGTCACGATGCGGGCTCCCCCGGGCCCCACCCGAGCCCACCAGGCCCGTCCCCAGCTAAGGGCAGAAGCCCCGCAGCCCTGCCATCTGCGCACGCCCTCCCGGAGCCCGGGAGCCCACCCACCTCAGCCTCCTTCTCCAACAAGATCTGATCTTTATTCACATCCTCGTTCTCCGCTTTCCTGAGTTGGGAAGAAGCCAGTCACCCTGGGGCACGCAGTCACAGTCACGCGCCCGATGACCCCAGAACCGCCCGTTTTCCTGATCAACATGGACGGGAGAGATAAGAGGAGGGAAGAGGACACACAGAGGCCAGGCGTCCACCGTGCCCATTGGGACTGGCCACTGCCACCCCTTGCACGTGGGCATAAATCCCGCCAACCAGGACAGCCCCGGCCAGGCGCGTCCATGCACGAGCACCCAGTGGCGGTGCTTTGCAGGCCCGACCCAGGCGGCAGCATATGGATGCCGTCAGGATAGACCGACGGCGCCTGCACCCTGTAGAGGGATTAGCGAGCTGGGGTGGGGCGGGGGAGGGCTGGGGAGGGGGGTTGGGACATGACAGCGGGGCTGGGACATGACAGCGCGCCAGGTACAACCTGCCGCCTCTCTTCAGCCTCTCAGAGCGGAAATTCTCGTAGTGCAGGTCCTGGGTCACCTCCTGCAGGTCCTGCATGTGGGTGCTAAGAGCGTGCTTGCGTGAGCCCCGCATGGAAGCCGCAGCCCCAAGACGTGGCGCCAGAGCCTGCAGGTCGGCCCAAATGGCCTCCGGAGCCCCCTCCACAGAGGAAGGCACCAGGAGGGCGGCGCCAGCACCCCGCGCCCCCGAAGAGCAGCCGGGGATGGGACTGGGCATCCACCGCTGGGCCCGGCCTCCCAGCTGAGGGCTCTGCAGGTCACCCGGCAGCTGGGCCTCAGGACCCGGGCGCGCATCTGCTGCCCAAAGGCGGCCCCTGCCCACCGGCTAGAGCACTCCCCACCCCATGCCCCTGCCCTGCACGAGCGCAGCCCCCCAAGCGCCTCACATGAGCATGGTCCGCAGCTTCAGGAAGTCGTTGTGCTCGGGGTTCTCCACTTCCACCACGCCCCACGGGTACAGGCGCCCCCGCACCTTCTTGCCTTTGGCTTCGATCAGCTGGTTGGATCCGACCACGGAGAAGGGGATGCTGGCCTGGGGGGCAGCGGGCAGCTCAGACCAGCGACCCACACCCCCAGGGTGCCGCTGCATGGCCATCTCGCCCACCCCTGCCGCCCGGCCGGCCGTGGGGTCCCTGCGGGCCCGACCTTCAGAAGCCTGGTCTGCTCCTTAAAGTCCTCATCTTCGTCCGACTCTGCGTCAGGCAAATGGTAGATCTTGATGTTATGTTCCTCGATCTCATCCAAAATCTGGAAGAACAGCGAGGCCAGAGGCAACTTCGGCAACCCCGGAGCCCTTCAGAGGCTTGACCCCTCAGCGGTCGCCGGGAGCCAGCCGCCAGCAGCCCGAAGGGGAGGTGCCTGGGGAGTGTCCGCAGCAGGCATGGAGGTGTCACGGGACCCGGGTGGCAGGAACCTTGGTGATGGGGCTGGAGCAGCCAGAAGCAGCGAGGGGGGGGCCCCCAAGAGGGAGCCCGGGCTGGCACAGGCAGGTGGCTGAGGGGAGCAGGCACTGCCGGGGGTATAGCCGCTTGCCCCCACAGCCTTCCATAGTCCCATGCACCCCTTACCTTCACTCCTGCAGCCCAGGGGCCCCTCACCCTCTGGCTGCCCTGGCCTTGAAGCCTGGGCCCCCCCACACCCCTCACCCTCTTCTTGAGGCGCTCCCGCTCCTTGAGCGTGAGGGTGTCCGCCTTGGCAATGACCGGCACGATGTTGACCTTGTTGTGGATGGCCTTCATGAAGGCCACGTCCAGGGGCTTCAGCCTAGGATGGGGCGCAAGGCCGGAGTCAGGGGATGCCAGGCCTGGCCCTGCCCACCCCGCCCCGCTGTGAGCACCACCCACCCGTGCCCGAAGGGGGAGAGAAAATAGAAGCAGCAGTGCACGCGGTTGTCCACGATGTGGCGCCGGTTGAGGCCGCTCTCGTCATGCAGGTAGCGCTCGAACTGCTCATCGATGTAGGAGATGATGGTCTTGAAACTGTGGGTGCGGACAGGGCGAGGAGTTGTGGCAGCGGGAGGGGGGCGGGGGCCAAGGGAGGGGGATGGTGGGGGGGGAGGCCGAGGGTGGCTGGGGATGGCAGAGGGGCGTACCAGTCCCTGCAGTTGATGGCGTCCCCGTAGCCAGGCGTGTCCACGACGGTCAGGCGCAACTTGACGCCGCGCTCCTCGATCTCCACAGTGGACGCCTCGATTTGGACAGTCCTCTCGATTTTCTCTGTTACAGACATGGGGAGGATGAGACTCCAGCAGCCCCACTCCCCCGCAGGCCCCCAGGAAAACTAGGCCCCCCACTCCGCATGGATTCCCTCCGAGATGAGGTCCAGGACCGCCCCCCACCACATGCTCCTTCCTGTCCAGAGCCCGCACGGCCGGGCGCACCTGCGGCCCCGGGGATGGCCCTCTCTGGATACAAGTCCGTCAGGAACAGGCTGTTGATGAGTGTCGACTTCCCCAAGCCCGATTCACCTAGGAAGGAAGAGGGGTGAAGAGGCCTCACTGATGCCGCCGCTCACCGACCCCCCACCCCTCCCCAGGGCCAGCTGGGGCATCACCCTGGCCAGCCGCTGCCCGCACAGGTACTGCACACCCCTAGCTCCACAGGCAGCCCCAGCTCATCCTAGTGGGACGTGACCAGAGCGGGCACCCGGCTCCCTCGCAGCTGCCTGGTGAGCCCACCTGCTGGGTCAGCCTGGACCGCGCCCTTGGGCAGGCCTGCTGACTGCTGGGCCCCTCCCCCGCGTCAGCCCATGCCCCCAGCATCTTTCATTCGCTTTAGAACCAGCTCGTCCAACTTAACGTGTGGGCCTGGGGAGCTGAGTGGACCCGGCCCAGTCCGGGAAGGACACCAGCGAGTTGCCGGGTCCCTTCCCTACCAAGCTGCACGTGAGCTGTTTGGGGATCTCTTTAAGCTTGTTTTTTTTTTTGCTTAGTTCTAAAAATTTAAAAATTTATTCTTGCGTAGAAGAACTGGGGTGCAGGCCTGACAGGATCCCCAGAAGCAAGAGTGATGAGCAGAGCGGGTGAGCCCTGTGGGATCGTGCAGGCCCCGGGGCGAACAGCCTGAGGCTGACTCCGGCACGGGGGGGGGGGGGGGGGGGGGGACCCAGCAGCTCTTGTCTGGTTTTGACCAGCCCTGATGGGCTCCGGTTCTGCCAGCCTTTCTCAGGCACTGCCATAAACACTCTGTGCCCGAGCCCAGCCTTCCGACGCCAGCAGGCGGGGGGCCAGACGGGGGCATGTGGGACACAGGTGGGGCAGGAACTGTGGTGGGCCTGCAGCCGCCCAGGCGGACGCCGCCCTCAGACAAGTCTCCCTGATGACTCAGGTCTCGCGTTCATCCAAGCTGGGGTTGTTCAAGGCACAAGACCGCACCCAGGCAGCATGAAGGGCTCTTGGCCACCGAACAAGGGTAGGACGAGGGCCCCACTGCCTGGCGCACCACCGAAGAGGGTCTGGTGAGCGGTGCCTCCCCACCTGAGGCCCGGTCTGCCTGCCACGGGCCCCTGGATTCTGCGCCCTCCACCCGACTCCAAGCCCATCGCCCCGCATGCCCTGCCCTGGGGTGCAGACCCCACCCCCCACCCCCCCAGTTTTCTTCGAGGTTGCTCGGACACAGTCGAGGACAGGTTTCTCGCAGGGTCACCCCTTCCTGGGCGGCTGCTCCGTGCGTGGAGACGGGGCAGGACTCGGCCCCACACGCATGTCCAGCCCCTCGCTGTTGCTCCCCGTCCCCAGCAGGGTGACCATGGCCTCCGACTTTGCCGTGTCCACTGGCCACTTGGTGGGTCCGCGGGGCAGACACTGACTGTCCTCGGACTCTATGTTCCAGAAGCGCCGATAGTCTGTGAATGTTCTCGGCCCCGCCTCTCCACCCAGGCCACCCAAACCACCCTCCTGGTGCTGACACTCACTTGCCTGAGGGCATCCAGAGGCGGCTGGCCTGCACCCCTCCCAGCGCCCCCACTTCCCCTCCATGTACCCCACATATCCAAGGTGGTCCCCAGGGCCGCGGGCTAGGCTGTGCCTGTGCCGAGGAGCCACGGGCCTGGCTCAAACCCAAGTGGCCACCTTGGCCGCTGTGCCTTCCCTATGGCCCGGGTGTCTCTGGCGGCGTGTCCAGGTGCAGTGGCTGGCCTGCTCGGACCCCAGCGGCTGCTTCCCACGGCCCCTCCACGCCCAACTCTCGGAGCCCCGCGTCCCGACCCGCGCCGTGGCAGACTCAGCAGCAGGGACGCTCACCTCCTGAGAGGAGTGGCAGGCTCTGGCCCGGCAAGTAGTTTATCGTACATCAGCTTAGCCCCAGGGTGTCCAGGGCTCTGGTCCCATTCAGACAGCCCCGGGGCCAATTTGGGGCCCTCCTCGTCCAGGACATCCTGGGGCTCTGGAGGAATGCCTCCTGGCCACAGGCTCCCCTCGCTGGCCGGACACCCATGCCGCCCCCCAGTGCCGGGTGGACTCCCCATGCGCCCCCCCGGTGATGACCCAGCCATGCGTCTAGGGCGCCCATGGGCCTCCAATGTAGGCTTCTGTGGCTCTCCCTACAGCCCTGCCATGGCCCCAGCTGCGATGGCCCCTCTGGCCCCGAGACCATGCATCCAGCGCTGTGCCCAGCAGAGGCGGCGGCTCCAGGCGCCTGCCCGCCCACAAAAGGGGGGGCTGGGTAGCCAGAAAGGGTAAAGGAGGTAACCGGGAGGGAGAAGAGGGGGCGCAGGAGCAGGGACGTGTGAAGAGACCGTGCTGGTTTCCGGCCTAGGGTGTGCAGGGGACATGGAGGGACACGGGAGAGCAGCCACGGTGAGATGCACGGAGGCCTTTACCTTGACTCGGCTTCGCTTGGACTCTTTCCTCCCAGGCTGCACGCCCTGCCCTGAGGGTGAGGGCCTGAGCCATGGGGTCCTGCCCGGGGCCTGCTGTCTGGGGGTCAGCCTGCCCGCGTGTGGAAGCGCCACTCCCCGTGCCCCCAGGCCCTCCCCGGCCCTCGCGCACCAGGGCGCTGTCCCCACGCGGCAGGCCCAGAGCCGGGGCTCGAGTGAAAGGGCTTCATCACTCACTCATCAACGGGCCCTAACGTAATGGGAACGCAGAGGCCTACGCCAGCCACACTGCTGAGCTGGGTGTCAGGCGCCTGACGTGGGCCGCCTGCGTGGTGACCGGCAGACCGAGTGTCCCCCCAGCACCGCGCTAGCCCCCACAAACAAAAACTACTAGAAAAAACGCAGTGGCAGGAAAATCAGGATTATTCTCTCCCGCAATGTTTCCTCAGAAATTTCTACTTTCATCTCCTCAAACTGCTTGATTCTGCCAACAAAAGAGCTTTCCCTCTGCCACTGGCTCCGGGGGCCAGCAGCTTCTTACCAACCACCATCAGGGTGAACTCAAAGCCCTTCTTCACTGATTTTCGGTGAACTTGATTGGGAAGATTTGCAAAGCCCACGTAGCCGGGAGTTTCCGGATTTATAAACTGAGTCGGTTGTTGCTGAAAAAGATTTTAACAAAGAAAAATAAACGAGTAAACGCCTTATTACCGGGAACATAACCGCCCTGGGGACAGACGGGGACGCTGCTGGTTCTCGCAAGCGCGAAACCCGCCTTTCTAGAGTCACTTCCGCCCGCAAGCCAGCGGCACCCCGAGGGCACGTCTGTCTCCGGAGACGGAGAGCCAGCGGTCGGTCCCCGGCCCACGCGACCCAGCGCGTCCGCCCAGACGTGCCACAGCAACACGTCGGAGAACCCCGCGCTCAACACAACCAGCTCTATTTCAGCTTCCGACCGGACGCCATGGCGGGGGCGAGGGCCGCTCAGACCCGGCAGTCTGAGCCGCCGCCACGCGCACACGCTCGGGCGCTAAAGCCGGTCTCCCGGTGCGGCCAGCGTCTGCGGGCGGGCGCCGCACATGGAGCTTCAGACAGGAGAAACAGGCCTGGCCCTAAGCCCTGCTTCCTCGGGGTGCCTCTCCAAGCCCGTGGAACCCTCGTGTCTCTCGCGTCCGCGGGCAGCAGGAGCCGCGCCCGGTTAGTGGGGATCCCAGAGGAGACCCCTGGCCAGGGCGCCCGTCAGTGCAAGCTCATGCACCGGCTGCCACAGACGCAGGGTGCACACGTCCCCACGGCAGACAAACAGACGCCTGCCCCGGGCGTGCTCGCTTACCTTGGACATGGTCAGCGAATCTCGTCCACCTGTGGAAACAGACAAGCGCGTGAGTGGGCTTGTGGCCGGGGCTCTGATGCGCCGCGGCTGTCCCTGCCATCACGCGTCACGAACCAGCCAGGAAAAGACATGCCCGGGGCCCTCCTGTGCGCTGCTAAGAAGCCGGGCACGGCATGGGGGTGGAGTCTGCCTGCTGGCATTTGGTGCAGAGTTGGGGGCGCAGGTGCAGTCTGCCTGTCTCACCCACCCCACCACAGGGCTGGCTAGGTAGCCTCCTTCACCTTCTCCCTTCCTGTACCGAGCATCCTGGACGCGCCACCCAGCCTCCCAAGGAATGGAAGGCGCTCCCAGCACTGGCCCCCAGGGGCACTGCCTCTTGCGGGGTGGGATGGAGTGTCGGGGGGTGGTGCCCTGGGCAGGGTGGCTGGCAAGGCCCAGGGACCCCGCCCGCTGGGAATCCACAGACTCCGACACTCGGAGTCGACAGTATAAAAACTTAAAGAAATTAAAAGACAAACAAACAAGCCACCACAAAAGAGATGACTGTGAAAAAAATCAAGCATCTTTCGAGAGAATTACAGCTAATGCGCCCAAGGGTGGTCAAAATCACCTCCCTATTCTTGGGCGCCCTCAGGCCACCAGACGTGCACGAAGCCGGAGGAGCCGGGCACAGACGCGAATGTGGGCTCCGGACACCCTGCTGCTGACCAGCCAGAAGCGGGAATTTGGCCCTCAAGATGTTAACGAAAACAACCCAGAAAAGACCTGAAATTGAAAAACTGTGAAAAAAAATAAATCCAAAAACTGGTTCCTTGAGACAAATTCCTCCCAAGCCCCATTGTGGAAGGACAAGCAGACGCAGAGCAGCACAGCCCGAGCCAGGGAGGCCGTGTTCAGTCCCGGCGCAGGACAGCGGAGCCCACGCGCAGCAGGACCGGGAGTCCCGAGCAAAGCCCGGAGCACCGCAGGACGCGGAGCAACGGCCCAAGAGGAAAAGGGACCGGGACCCATGGCCCAGAGCTGACTGCATGCCAGCGTCACCCCCGGAGGGCCACGTGGCTGGGGGACAGCACAGCGCTGGTCACAGCCCCGCGGGGCTGCTCAGGGAGGACTCGCTGGCAAGCGGCCTCCAGACATAGCCCAGAGCATCCCAACGCACGCGAGCAGGAAACCCCTGTGATCAGAGCCAGAGAGGCTGCGGGGGGAGACCGGCAGGCCCTGAAGACACCGGGCACCCACGGGGCAGGAGCCACGCCCACACCCCAGCCCCGGGGCCCACACTCCCCTAAGCGCCTGTTCTCTGTGGCCCATGTGAGCCACGACCGCACGGAGCTTTGGAAGCTCAGGGAGACGCAGCGAAACAGCCATAGGCGCTGTTCGTGCAGATGACCCGACGCGCCCCGGACACTTGACCGTGACTTAGGAAGGATCCCAAAGAGACTCAGCAGGCTGGCTGGGCGGGCGCAAAGGGTGCGCGTTGGGGTCTGCCGGGGAGGAACCTCTGACCGGCACAAGCCAGCTGGGCAGGCAGCTACGAGAGGAGCCTGAGGGAATCCGGCCATCTCCCTTCTCCCCAAATCAAGAATTGGCCGGGCATGAGCCCACTGGCGCCGCCCACAGTGTGCTTTCCCCCCAGGAACGGGCAACCACCGCAGGGCGGAGCTGAGGCCCTGGAGGCGCCTGGAAGCTGCGTGGGGAGGATGGGGGTGGCTCCTCCACCAAGGCCGCTGAGAGACACGGGAGAGCGGCCGTGGAGACCCGCGGAGGCGGCTGAAGCCTTTACCCTAACTCAGCTTTGCTTTGGTTCTTTCCTCCCAGGCTGCCCGCCCCGCCCTCCCTGTGTCCCCACTGGGGGTCCGGGCCCTGGGCCGGCTCTGGACCCTACTAGGCTGGGCAGGCCGCGTCCTCTCTCTGCCACACGCTGTTTCCACTCAAGTCCTCTCCTGCAGACCTTCCTACGCAGTAGTGTTTGTCTCAGCACGGCGGATAGCAGGACCCACCCAGAGCAGGCAAGGGTGGGGGTCCCGGAGTGCCCCGCAGGCTGCCTGCTAACAAAATGACTTTCAAGTTTACCGGAGAGAGGAATCACTTTGGGGAGGGGGATGCTGGCCTCAGGGCAGGCTTCGTGGGCCTGGCCCGGTCTCCCCAGCTTCACTTCCCCGCTGAGAGGGCACTAGCCCTGAGCCGTCCCGCACCCCACTCCACAAAATTCCCAGAAGACCCAAGCCTGTCCCCGCATGGGGTGAAGGGGGCAGCTCCCTGCGGAGCCCTCCAGGCGCCCCGATGGCCCAAGCCCCAGGAAGGAGGAATCCTCCCTCTGATGCCTCTCCCCCTTGAGCGGGCCTTGGGCTCGCCCCTTTCCATGCCCCAGTGAGGTAAGGCCGAAGTGGGGGGCTCACGGGCTGAGATTCTGGTCTCCAGGGAGACCCCTGACCCGGCCTTGACGCCAGGCGCCTTGGTGAACTGACACACGGGTGTAGGGGTATCGAGTCCCTCAAATCTCAGGGATGTTGTCGAGTGAAAACGTCATCCTTTCAAGTTCTGCGCATCCTGGACCCAAGGACCGAACCGCTCAAAGGCGGTTTCTCCCGCAGCAAAGACCCGCGCAGAGAAACCGCTGCGCAGCGAGAAGCCAGGAGGCGCTCCCGCGCGCACTGCTCGGGGCCCCGGCCCCGCGCCCCGGCCCCGGCCCGCCCGCCCGCGCCGCGCCCCGGCCGCCTCTCAGCTGTGGCTGATCTGGGGACGGCGGCCGCCCTGGGGCCCCGGCGGGTCTGCGGCGGCCCCGCCGTCGAGCGGCCTCCCCTGCAGGGCCGCGGCCGCAAAGCGGGCTGGACGGCGCCCGCCGCGCGCCCCGGGCAGGCAGGGCAGGGGTCCCCGCGGCCCGCCCGCCCGCGCGGGGAGGCAGGGCGGCCCGGGCGCGGGGCGGCAGCGGGGGCTGAATGGCCGCAGCGGCGACTCGGCCGGGGACGGGGCCTCCAGGACACGGCGGCGCGGCCCGCGGCGCGGGGGGGGGGCGGCCCGAGGAGCCGCGGTCAGCCCGCGGGCCCGCGGCAGGGCGGCTCGGCGTCGACGTGGAGGCGGCGGGGGGGGGCCGGAAAGGGCGAAGGCCGGGCTCGGGGCTGCCGGCGGGTCCCGCCCCGCGGAGCTCCCGCCCCGCCCGCCCGCCGGGTCTGGCCGCGGCCTGGGAAGGGGCCGGGCGGCGGGCCAAGGGCCAAGGGCCCGGCCGGGGCCCCACACCCCCGGCCCGGCGCGGAGGCCCGCGGGGGTCCGGCGGGCGGGGGTTAGGGGCGGCCAGCCCGGCGGGGGTGAGGGGCCCGGGCCGCGGGGGCGCGCGCGGGGGGTGAGGACCCGGGCCGCGGGGGCGCGCGCGGGGGGTGAGGGCCCGGGCCGCGGGGGCGCGCGGGGGTTGAGGGGCCCGGGCCGCGGGGGCGCGCGTGGGGGGTGAGGGCCCGGGCCGCGGGGGCGCGCGTGGGGGGGAGGGCCCGGGCCGCGGGGGCGCGCGTGGGGGGGAGAGCCCGGGCCGCGCGCGGGGGGGGCGGGCCCGGCGGCCGAAGCCCGCGCGGGCCGCCCCTCCCCCACAGCGCGGGCGTCCCGCCCGCGCGCCCGCCCCGAGCCGCCGCCCACGCCCGAGGCCGGGCCGAGCGTGCGTCCAGCTCGCGCCCGCCTCGGCCCAGCTCGCGCCCGCGACAACGGCGCCCGGCGCGACACTCACCGCCGCCAAAGCAGAACCGGACCCGAGCGAGCGCGCCGCGGACCCGCCCAGCGCCGCCGTCGCCGCCCCACCGTGCGCGCAGGCGTGGCGTCATCGCGTCGCCCCGCCCCTGCCAGCGTCTTCCGCGCCCCGGCCCGCCTCCCCGCGGTTGGCGGTTGGCCACGGGGAGACGGGGGGCGGGGGGAGGTCAAGCGGAGCCGCGTCTCCTTTACCAAGATGGCGGCGCGTCCCTGGATCGCCGCGGCCCCTGCCGTGTGAGCCGGGTTCCCTCACGCTGGTAAGAGCGGAGCCGGCAGCGCTGCGCCCCGCCCGGGGCCCGGGGAGGGCGCGTTTCTCCCGAAGGCCCTCGGCGGCCGGAGGGGCGGGCGGCCGAGCGCGAGCGCCCGCGGGAGGGCGGCCTGCGCCCGCCCGCTCCTCCGGGAAGATGGCGGCAGCACCGAGCGGGCGGCCGGGCGGGCGGCGGCGGCGCGGGCGGCCGGGCGGGGCGCTCTAGCGCGGCCGCGTCCTCTCGGTGGTGCGGGCCGCGCGGGTTGGCCGCGCGCGTCACGTGGCGGCGGCGGCGGCGCGGGCCGGGGGGCGCCCGTCCCCGGGGACCGGCTCGCGCCCGGCTGGGCCTGCGCCCGAGGGGCGGGCGGGCGGGCGGGCGGCGCGCGGGGCCGGCCCGCGGCCAGGTAAAGCGGGGCGGCGCCCTCCCGCAGGCGGCCGCCGCGATGGCGCCGGCGGGGCGCGCGGCCGGGAGGGCTTCGGGGGGCCGCGGGGACGGCGCCCCGGGGGTGAGCCCGCGGGCGGGGCCCGGGGCGCGGGCCTTCTCGGGGTGCGGGCTCCGGAGTTGGGGCTCCGGGGGGAGCAGAGTTCGGCTGCCGCGGCGGGGCGCGGGGGTGGGGCGGCTGCGCCCCCGCCGCGCCCCGGCCCCGGCCCCCGCGCCGGCAGGGCGGGCAGGTGGGCGCCTCGGGAGGCGCCTGGGCCGGGCGCGCCTCCTGCCCGCGCGGCCTCGGGGGACCCCGCGGTGCCACCCGCGCCGGGCCGCAGCCTCCCCGAGCGCCGGGGCGGGCGCAGGTGCTGCCCCGCAGAGACCCCGCGGCGGGGAGGCCTGGGGCTCGCCCCGAAGCTCCCCCGGCAGCTCGTGGCCGGGCTCCGACGCGTTTGCCGCTTGAAAGTCACCTCCAGACCTTTCTCTGCGTTTTGCAAGAAACGGGCGTTTTCCTGACGAGACTCCGCTCTGGAGCCAGGGACGCCTCCCCGGCCGGGGCTGGGCTCCCCGCAGCGGCCGGCCCGTGAGGCCCTGGGGCTTCTGGCGCCGTGCGGGTGGCCTGGCCTTCTCCGCGCTGCCCTGGGGCCTCTCCCCCAAGGCTCCCTGGGCCTCGCGCGCTCCGCCTGTCCAGCTCCCGGCCTCTGGGGGGGCGCTGGCCTGTTGCGTTCTCTCTGGAGCCTCTGGAGGCCCCTCAACATCACTGTCCAGCCGGTGTGGCCCCGGGGCTGAGGGGCTGGGACTGAGGTGCTCAGGGTGGGGTCTCCCTCCAAGGTGCTGGTCTCCTTGGGGTTTCGGCCTCGGCGCTGGAGGCTCTTGGGGTGGTTGTGTGTGGGCTGCGCCCCAAGTCCTGCGCCCTGCTGAGCCCTCCTGAGCTCCCGATCCAGGAGGCCGAGCGCTCGCTGGGGGGGCTGCTGCCTGGTCACAGCTGGGCCCAGCGCAGAAAGTCCCCTTGGGTGGCACTTTTCACCACTGTGCCGGTGCCCTGAGGTGGTCTCTGCGGTGTGCCCGGCACCGGGCTTTGCTCTGTCCTGGTGTGCACACGAGCCACTCAGTAGAGATCAGAGCCAGAGCTGGACTTCACAGCCAGGGAGGTAGTGGACATGATCAATTGGCAAAGCGGGCGCTCGGGCCGGGTGTGTGTGTGGGGGGGTTCTGCCCTGCGTGGGTTCCTGGGCATCATCAGGGGGCAGGGAGTGAGGCACCTGCGTGTGTGCCCGGCATGTTACGTGGCTTCGTCAGGGGCTGAACTCAAAGTGCTGTCTCGAGAGCAGAGCCTCGCTGCAACTGTCCGTCCTGGAGTCTTTCTCCAGGAAGCACCGTTGCAGCAGCCAGTGGCCGCGCTGTGCAGTCGCCCATGCTGGACCTGTGTCCGGAGACTCCTGGGGCCACTGCCCATGCTGCGAGCCTGTGCCGGGCCCGGTCGCGCCCCGAGGCCCCAGCAGCCTTATCAGGAGAGGGGGTGGAAGCACTGAGGAAGGACCAGCAGGCTCCCCAGGGGGGCTGCCGGCAGCACTCCGCTTGCTGCTCCTGGGGAGGGCCGGGAGACCCTCCACCTGTCCTTCGCCCCTGTGTGGGGCGGCCTTGAGGACGGGGCCTGGTCTCGGGCTAGATGTGCTGGCAACGGCTCCAGCTCCTCTCGTGGTATCAGGCCCCTGCTCCCAGGTTTGGAGGAGGATGGTGGTGGCCGCACCTGTGGCGTCCCACTCTGGCTTGTTCGCTGTGGTGTGGCTGTTGGGCGGGTCCAGCTGAGCCGTTAGCAGCGTCGGGACCAGTCGGGCTGTCATGACGCTGGTGCTGCCAGCTCCTTGGGTTGCTCAGCCAGGACAGCCCCGGGTGAGGGCTGCGGAGGCTGAGAGGGGCTGCTCTGCGGGGCCTGTCCCCGACGTGGCCAGTGCGGACAGCAGTGTGGCGGGGTAGCTCTGGCCAGGATCTTCGCGTCACTGACACTGAAGAGGGAGAGGGTCAGGGAGCGCCCGCCTGCTGCCGTCCAGGCTGCTCCGCCAACGGTCCTATGAGTCTGGGCTACTACTGTGCCCAGCCGGGTGGCATGGCAGGCCACAGACGGCGGTGCTGATGGCACCAGAGGGCCTGTCCTGCGCTCGGGGCCTTGATCTTGGGCCCCTGTGGCGTCCACGGCCACAGCGGGGTCTTCTTCCGGCGCTGGGACAGCTCAGCCCTAACACGCTTGTGCCCAGGCCCTGCTGAGCCAGACCCTCGCGACATGACGAGTAGCCTGTTCATCCAGGTGACCGCCGGCCGGGGTGCATTTATGGAGCTGAGGCTCTTGGGGCCCCGCCCTGGTGAGAGGGGCTTCGGAGTGCTCGGCTGTCCTGCAGCGGGGGTCAGCGAGGGCACCTGGAGCTGCTGGAGCTGGTCGTCCCCTCCCTCTAGGCTGCGCAGGAGCTGAGGGCCCTGGGGCGGCGGGCCCCTGGGCAGCGCCCGGCTCTGGAGACAGCCCTGGGGAGGTTGCCACAGCAGAGGGTCTCTGAGGGGAGCAGCTGGAGCAGAGTCCTCGGTCCCCCCAGCAGGACCGGCCTGTGGGGGAGGCTGGGGGTGGTTCTGGAAAGGCCCCGCACAAGGGCCACCCCTCGTCACGCCCGTGGTGCTTTTCTTTTTTGGGAAATGAAAATAGCGACTGGAAGCAGCGAGGACGGTCCTGCAGCCCCCCCCCCGTGCCCATCACTGGGGCCCCGGGCCAGCAGGTGGGGATCGGCGTGTCGCGGTCAGTGCCCGGCCCCGACACCGTGGTCAGGGCGGCTGCTGCCCACACAGGCAAGGTTGGGGGAGGCGAGGCTCCTGCCCTGATTCGCCCCCTGAGCGGCGGCCAGCAGTGCCACAGTCGCGCGCTCGTGGCTGATCAGGGCGAGGGCCGGCTCTCAGGTCAGACTCTCCGTAGCTGGTTTTACTCTGGGGAAACCGGACCCTGGCTCAGTCTAAGGAACGCGGCCCCTGGAGCCCTGCCGTCCCTGGCCGTGTCCTGGGTCGGCGCAGACCGCTCTGTGCCCAGAGCCCTGGGAGGTAGGGGCTGCTCGGCACCCACGGGAGAAGCTGCTCCTGCTTCTCCCAGGCCTGGGTGGTCTCCAGGCCCTTGGCTCATTGCCACAGCTGCCCCGCCGGCTCCCATGCTGGCTCCGGGGCCTGGGCTTCTCTCATGTTCTGGACAGGCCTGTGAGGGAGACGTGGGGCACCAGGGCCGTCCAGTCCCCGGACCCTGTAACCGCTGGCGTCTGAAGACCCTCCGCCCCACGGCAGCTCCTTCCCAGACGGCAGGGCCGGGCCCTCCGGTGGCTGTCGTGGATCCTGGCCTGGCCATCCCTCGAGGATGCGCCTGCACGTGGGGAGACCAGGGCTGGCCAGGTGGCCATCCCCGGGTGCTCTCCCTTCCTCCCGCACACCTTCGCTTCCTGTGCTTGTCCTGGGGGGCCTCCCGCGGGCCGGTTTGTTCCTGCCGCCGTTGTGGGCTAACGGGGCTTTTCCCTCCCGGGACACGGCTCCACCTCCTCCTCACCTGAGCTCCGGAGGCCGGGCCCAGGTGCCGGGCACAGAACAGGGGCTGCCCGGAGCTGCAGGCCCGGGAGCCTCGGCTGCCTCCCGCCAGGACCCTCCTCGCCCCGGTGCCTGCGGCGCGCTGTGGCCCTGGGCTCGCTGGCGGGTGCTTTGTTGGAGTTTGTAGCAGCTGGTGAGCTGTTTGGGGGTGATCTTTTTCCTTCTTGGGTCCCCGCGCTGTCTGGGAAGGCAGAGCAGTGCCCCAAAGGTCCCTGGAGACCGGCCTCCCACCGCGCGTCAGGCTCGCCTTGGACGACGAAGGGCCCAGCTGCGTGCGGGGCCCTGATTGGCTCGGGAGCGGGCACCCCTCGGCCCCCCGGCCCCCAGTGGGCCCAGAACCCAATTAGCGCCAGCGAGATGCAAAAATAATTTGCAGGCGTCCCGTGGGGCGAAGGAGCTCTTACCTCCTCGGGGAGCGCGGCCACGCCGCCTGTGGCCTGCTCTACTTCACGGCCCGCGAGGGCGGCCCCCGGCCCGCCGCCGGCCCGCCGCTGCCCCCGGAGAGGCCGGCCGGCCCGGCTCGCCTGCTGCTGCTGCTGCTGCGTCTGTTCTCCACCCGCCGTCGCTGTCCTCGCTTCGATGTCTTCCTTGGCGCGGCCGCGCCCCCGGAGCCTCTCCGCCTTCTCTTCAGGGAAAGGTCTGGACGCGCCCGGCAGCCGCCGTCCCTGCCCCTCCCCTGCACCGGACTTTGCCTCCAGTCCGTCTGAGAGCCCAGCTCGGATCTCGCGGCCTCCCCTCCGCGTCTCCCGGTCGGCGCCTGCCGCGGCACGTGGTGTTTCCACCCGCGCTCAGCTCCAGCCCGAGGCGGTGCCTGGGGCCCCTCTGAGCCGTGGCGCCTGGTGTGGAGACGCCGGCCGTGTGCTCAGGCCGCGCAGCCTTGGGCGGTGGTGGCGCCATCACGGTGCTGGGGCCTTTCTCTGGTTCTGTCGTGGTGGCCTCAGCCGTCCCCCGCTGGACGAGGCTCCTCCGCGTGGGGTTCTGGTGGCTGCTGTCACGCGGCACCATCGCGTCTCCCTCTCTGCGGCCCTTGAGGCCACTGAGTGGCCTGTGTGCCCCCCGGACCCGGCCTGGAGGGGAGCCGTCCGCGCTCGGGCCTCAGGCCTCTGACCCCTTGCTGCTCCCCGGCGGGGTTGCAGGAGACGAGGGCGTCCTCTAGGGCCGCGAAGCCCCGTGTTAGCCTGTGAACCCAGGGGGCCAGGGAGACTCCGGCATGGCTTGTCCAGGGGCCGTAGGATCTGTGCCGCCCGTCAGGGTTCGGAGAGCAGAGGCGGTGTCGGGTGCGACTGGTCCAGAGGCCCGCTGGGGCCCGGAGCGCGTCTCAGTTGTGCATCTGCCCACCCGGGACGCCCCCGCACCTGGCCCTCCCGGAGCCGGGCGACTCCCTGAGCCGCTGGCTTCTGTGTTTCTGGAGCAGGCGGCCGGGTCATTTTAGGTTTTCGCACTTAAGAACTGAGACAAAACCCGCGTGCCTCTCCCGGCACCCGGGTTGGTGCCACCCACGCCTGCCGCTTCCTGGGGCCGGCGCCCCCGCCGCGGGGTCGCGCTCGTCCCCTCCACAGGCGCCCGGGCCGTCCGTACCGAGTGGCCGGTTTCTGTCGGGGGCTGTGTGGTCTCGAGAAGACCCTTGGCCCCGGGCCCCCGCTCTCACCCGATGTCCCTGTCAAGTGAGCGCTCGCCGGCGTGTGGCTGGGCTTGTGGGGTGTCCCTCTGGCCCTCCCACGCTGCGGTCGCGGCCCTTCTGCAGGGTGGAAGCGCAGCCGCGCGTCGCCAGGCCTAGGGCCCTGAGCCCGCGGTGAGTCCTTCCTGCCGGAGGGCTGGCTGGAGGGACCTGCCCTAAGACCCCCAGCCTTTCCCTGTCTCCCCCCACCCCACACCCGCGTGGGGAGGGCCTCGCCCCCCCAGGGTGTTGGTGTCCATCCTGGCCCGGGGCTGCGCGGCAGTGGCCCCAGCTGACCACGGTGCTGCCCTGCTCCTTGGCCACGCCGGGTCTGTGCCCGCTGGGCTGCCCTGGGGCTGCCCTGGGGCGTGTCTAGAACTTTCCGTGTTTCTTGGTGTTCCCTTCTGCTCCTGAGTCTCTTCCTGCGCGGCCGTGGCTGTCGGGCGTCCTTGTGCTCGCCTTGCTGCTTCTCAGCCTCTCACCCGCCCGTCTTGCTCCCACCGACTCTCACGCTCGCGTGACGCCTCGGAGCGTCTCATCAGAGGTTCCGGCTTCGCAGGTTCTCGAGCTCCTGCTGGGATCGCTTCTCTGTCGTCAGGCTCCGGTCTGGGGTCCGGGATCTCAGCCCCCGGGACGGTGGGGGTCTGAGCCCCGTACATTTTTCTTTTTTCTGGGGTCTGTTCTTGGGAGCTTTGGGGGGCTTCTTCACCTTGAGTCTGAGGCCCCCCTGCCCCGAAGGGGTCCCGTCCCTGGGGTGAACACACGGGACACCTCAGGGTGGGCCGCCCCAGGGGAGTGCAGAGCTCCAAGGGCGGCGCAGGCGGAAACTCGGGTTCTGTGGGCTCTGTTGACTGTTTCGGGGCCCGGTGTCCAGGCCTCCAGCGTGCCAGGGGCTCGTGGGCTCTGCCTCTCGGATGCCCTGCTTCCCTGGACATTGCTGGACCGCGGCCGGCGGCTGCCCCTCAGGCCCCCCGCCCCCCCGCCCGTCCTCCAGGCTGAGCCCTCAGAGCCCAGATGAGCACCGCGCTGGGAGCCGCTGTCCCTCGGGCGGCGGCCGGGTGACACCCAGGAGGGGAGTCCGCGAGGCGCCCCCAGGCTGTCCTCTCGCCTGGGTGGGAGCCCCTCTGCCTCCCAGCGCCTCGGCAGGCCCCGCCACTCGGCTTCTGGGGCGTCCCCCGGGCCCTCGGGGCAGACCGCGGTGGCCGGCTGCTTGGGGCGCGGCGTCTCCCGCGTGGGCCCCACTGCGAGCAGCCCCGGTGCCGGGCGCCTGCGCCCCGCTTCCTGCCCCGCCGCGGGCAGCGGGTCCGCCTGGGGGCGGGGCGGGGGCGCCGCCAGGTGTCGGGCGCCCCCCGCCCGCGCCGGCCCGCCGCTCCCCGACCTGCGCCCGCGACCTGCGCCCGCGGCGGGCCGGGCGGGCGGGGGGCGCGGCGGGCGGGCGGGCGGGCGGCGGGCGGGGCCGGGCGGGGCGCGGCCTGACGTGTCTCCCCGGGATTGGCGCCGCCGCCCTATATAGCCGCGGGGGCCCGGGCGCCGGCCTCGAGCTGCCGGCCTCGCGGCGCGGAGCGCACGACGGAGCCACGGTGAGCGGGGGCGGGGGGCGCGGGGGGGGGGGGCGCGCGGGGTCCCGCCCCGCCCCCACCCCTCCCGCCCGCGGCGCCGCGGAGCGCCCCCCCCCCCCCCCCCCCCCCCCCGCCCCGCGCCCCGCGCCCGGCCGGCCGCGGCGCCCGCAAACTTTCCCGAGTCCGCGCCCGGCCGCCCCCGCGCCCCGCAGCTGCGCTCTCGGGCGGGCGCCCCGCGCCCCCCGCGCGGCGGGACGGAAAATTCCTGGGCGGGCGCGCGGCCCTTTAAGCCGTCCCCGCCCGCCCGCCCGCCCGTGCTGAGGTGGCATCTGCGAGTTCCTGCGCCCGGGGCGGGGCTTCCCGCGGGGAGTGACCGGCCGGCAGGCGCCCGGCCCGGCCCAGAGCGGCGCCTCCCGGGACCCCGCGCCCCGCAGCCCACGCGTGACCGCGGCCTCCGCGGGCGTCTGTCGGGGGGCGGGTTTGCCGCCGCTCCTGCGCCTGCTGCCAAGTCGCGGGGGCGGCCCGGAGGCGGCCCGTGGCCATCTTGGGGCCGGCCGTGGGGACTCAGTGGGCCGTGAGGGGACCCGTCCTTGAGGGGGCCCCTGGGTGGGCGCCGAGCCCCGGGGACAAGGTCTCGGCTCCTTGGCTGAAGGAGAGGGGGGCACACAGCCGGCGGGGGTCTGGAAGGGGGGCCACGGCGGCCTCGCGCCCGGCGCCACAGGCAGGGCCGGGGTCTGCACTCACGCAGGCTCCTCGACGGCCGTCGGAGAGGTTTCCGAGAAACACGGGTGCTGCGAGGCCTCTGTGGCGGCTGGGGGCCGGGGCTGCACGCCCCTGCTGGGCCCATGGACGGCACCGGGGCCTGCACCGGGTGGGACGGCCGCTGCCGGCCAGAGATGCCGGGAGAGGAGACTGCACCGCGGGGGGGCGCCTGAGGCTCCCTGGTGTGGGAGGCTGTCCAGGTGGAAGGTCAGCCGGGGGCGCGGGGGTGGTGGCCTGGACGGCCTCTGTGTTGGCCCCGGCGGGCGCAACGTGGACTGGCCAGGCCTTGGAGCCAAGCAGACGTGCCCTCTGCGCCCTGCCAGCAGCAGTGCGTTGGGCGCCCCAACTCCTGCGGTTCTCTGCGCCCCACTGGGTCTGGAGGGCTCACGTCTGCGCGCCGCAGTGCTCTGGGGGTGAGCGCCTTGGTCCAGTGGCCCACATGTCCGCTGGGCGGGGCTCGCAGGCGGGGCCCTGCGCTTACGGCCCCTCGGGTGGGTCGGCCATGTCTCTGGGCAGGCCGGCGCAGTGACGCGCTGCTGTCTGCCCAGCCCCGTGTGCTGTGGGCCCCGGGTTTGGGGTTTGGTTGTCAGATGAGGGCGTGTGCCCTCCTCCCATCGCTTCTCCCGCCTGGACGGCCGCCCGAGGTCCGCACTCACGCAGCCCCGCAGACGCACGTCGGAGGCACTTTCCCTCAAGACGAGCGTTTGAGAGCTTTCCGAGGAGAACGGTCTCCACGGCTGCCCGTGGCCCTCCCCCGCCTGAGAATCCATGCAGGCGGCAGCCAGGCCTCTGCGCCCCGTGGCCGGGAGGGGCAGGGGCTCAGGGGGGCCAGCGGGGGACGGGTTCGGCCCGGGATGTCCGCCGAGCAGGGGGCATGAAGCTGATGCCCCAAGGTAGAGCTTCCTTTCTGCCTCCGAGAAACTTGGCTGAACGGGGGTGTGCGGCCCACAGCGTCAACGGTGTTTTGACCTTCTGGGTTGAGGTCAAAGGGCCTGTGTGCAGAGTGCTGGTCAGTAACGCCCCGGTTCCCCCCAGGAAAAGCTGGCAGGCTGACAGGCGACCTCAGGACGGACTCTCTGGCTACTGACCGTTTTGCTGGTAAGACCCGCCCGCCACACCCGGCCCCCTGCAGGGCGCCCTCCGCCTTCCGTGGGGCTCTCCCCTTGTCAGTCGGGGGCCACACTGCTCGGCTCTGCGCCTGGTCTCGCCCCTCCTCGGGGGCCGGGGCTTGCTTTTCTTGAGCTCGGGGCGCGGTTTCCGCTCTGCTGTAAAAATCACTGAAACTCTCTCCTTGTTACTTTCGCGGCCTGCCTCCCTGGGCCTGTGCCCCAGGGCCCTGCACTCGCCCCTGTGGTCCCAGGCTCCCTGCCGAGCTGCTTGCATCCGCGGGCCAGGCTCACTTGGGGGTGCACTCAGAGCCCCCCGGCTCCTTGCTGCTGACCTGGCCACCTTGAGGCCTTGGCTTCCCGGCTGTCCTGTCTGCAGCGGGAGAGGAGCGCCGGGGTGGGGCACCTGGGGTGTAGCTCCAGACATCCGACGTGAGCCCAAGATGAGGCCTCTCTCCTCGGGGCGGGTGGGCACTGCCTGCAGCCCAGGGACTCTGACGCCCCCCCACTCCCCACAGCATCCCCAGGACTGTGCAAGCGCGAGACCCACCATGAGCTCCGTGGCGGTGCTGACCCAAGAGAGCTTCGCTGAGCACCGGAGCGGGCTGGTTCCACAGCAGATCAAAGGTGACCGCGTGCCTCCGCTGCCCGCCCCGGCCCCTGTGTGCTCGGCTCTGGCCGGTGGCCCCTGTCGGTAACGGGGTCCTTCCTCAAGCCCAGCGCGGCTCAGGGCCAGCCGCAAGGTGGCGGCCGGGCAGGCCCTGTCTCCGGCTCCGCGGGCAACAGGGGAGGACGGGCCCCCCTGGGGGGTAGAGGCCTAGCAGGAGGTAGCATCTGCGTGTCGCGTCCCCGTCACTGCAGCGAGGGCTGGTGCTTTGTGCCCCTCCTGGACGCGTGTGAGGCAGCGTGGTGGGAAAGCCAGTTTCCCTTTTCTGCTTAAGATTCGTTTATTTATGCTACAAGAACTGGGGTGCAGGCCAGAGAGGCAGCGGTGAGAGGGCTCCCCAGAGAAGTGGGGAGCAGAACAAGCAGATCCACTGAGATCCCCTGCTGAGTGGGCAGCGGGAGACAGGAGAGGGCCGCTGTGCCCTGTGGGTCACTCCCGGCCGGGGAAGGACTTAGGCCTCAGTAGTGAGAATTTTTGTCTGAAATCTTTGAATTGTGATTCAATTTCATAAGATCTTAAAGTTAGGAAAGCCGGTCGTTCCAGGAACGCGAGGAAGCGTCCAGTAGGAACTGGAGATTGGAGTTGGCGTTTAAGTGAGTTCAAGTTGGGGGCCTCCCTCGGGGCGCAGGGGTCAGTCTCAGCACCATCGCGCTGTCGGCAGGCGCTGCGGCCTGAGTCCTTCCCTGGCCAGGGAGCTGCCCGCGCGGTGCAGCGCTCTCCTGTCCCCCGCTGCTCCCCTCCGCGCTGGGTTCCAGTGGATCCTCCTGTTCTGCTCTCCGCTCTGTCTCTGAGGAGTCGCTCGGCCTGCTCCTCGGTTCTTGTAGCACGGATAACTACGTCCTTCGAGAAAAAAAAAGTTAAAGTTGGGCTGGCCCGGCTGGGGTACCGGGGCTGCCTCCGGCCAGTGTAGCCCTGACTAGCTGAGTGCTCAGCCTGAGCCCTCAGCCGCCGCCTCTCCCTGCCCTCACCTTGCCTGGGCCTGCGCCTCTCTCCCCGCAGCGGAGTTGGGTGCTGACGGGCCTCCCGGCCACAGGCGCTGGCCCAGAGTTGACGGGTTCCCAAGGCAGCAGTCACCTCCTGCTTCGGGCCGCGGGCCCCCTGCTTTCTGGGAGGTGCGGGCGGCGGGTCGGACAGTGAACACCCTGGGCGCCATGGAGGGGGCGCCTGCTCCCCACCGGGCTGGGGCGGGAGGCGGGCTCGGGGCCAGCGCTGGCCGTGTCCTTGTGTCCACAGACGCGGGTGTGCTCCGGCCGGGTGTGGCCGTAGGTGGCAGGTGGATTGTTCTCAGACCCCTGAGGCTGGGTGCTCCGGGAGCCCCTGCCGCGAGGGGCTGGAGTGCGGGTCTGAGCTGGCTTTACCCAACTCAGGCATGAGGTTGGGGCGCCGGCTCCAAGTCCAGGGGCCTGCTGGCCTCAGAGCAGAGGGGTGGGGGCATTGTGGCTGGGGGCCCTGGAGCGCGTCTCCCTGTGCTGACCGCCGTCTGCACTTCTCCATGCGGCCCAGTTGCCACTCTGAGCTCGGAAGAGGAGAGCGACCCTCCGACCTACAAGGATGCCTTCCCCCCGCTCCCCGAGAAAGCGGCCTGCCTGGAGAGCGCCCAGGAGCCTGCTGGCGCCTGGGGCAACAAGATCCGGCCCATCAAGGCCTCTGTCATCACTCAGGTGGCGCCAGGCCCCACCCCATCGGGGGAGGGAATGAGGGGGCTCTCTGCAGGGGGCCTCATGGTCTGACCAGCCCCCACCTGGAGGCACGGTCCGTTGCTCAGCCCTCCGGCGCGGCTGCCCTGGCCTCCAGCTCTGCCACGGTGCCCCGCAGAGGGCCCAGGGCGGCCCGACCCCAGCCTTGGGAGCCTTCCTGGATCCCTGTGGTGTTAGGTTGTCTGGTTCTCCCCAATCCTGCCCTGAATGACTTCCACGGCCCTTTGGAGGACTGGCCCCTCCTGCCCCAGCGTCCCCAGTAGCACCGCTGGCCCGGCCCTGCGGTCAGAGGCCCCTCACGCTGTGGACTCCGCCTGGCCTCCCGGGGCCCTCTCCCCCAGCCCACCCCGCCTCTCGCCTTCCTCAGGCCACCGACAGACCCACGCCCCTGGTCTCCCCGGGGGCTCCCGGTCGTGCGTCCTCCCGCCTCCCCCTCCAGCTGGGCGGGCTGGGGGCAGACCCGTCCCCTGGTGTCCAGCATCCCCTGACGCAGCCTCTGGCAGGTGTTCCACGTGCCCCTGGAGGAGCGCAAGTACAAGGACATGAACCAGTTCGGGGAGGGCGAGCAGGCAAAGATCTGCCTGGAGATCATGCAGCGCACGGGCGCTCACCTGGAGCTGTCGCTCGCCAAGGACCAGGGCCTGTCCATCATGGTCTCCGGGAAGCTGGACGCTGTCATGAAGGCCCGGAAGGACATCGTGGCTCGGCTGCAGACCCAGGTGGGTGGTGGGTGGGTGGATAGGCCAGCTGGGGCCAGAGCCGGGTGGGCTTCAGGCAGCCGCGTCGTCCAGCGCACGATTCCAGGCCTGGGCGGGGCAGGTCTGAGTCCAGGTCCCGCTATGCCAGGCCTGGCCTTCACCGCCTGGCCCCCGCGCTCGGGGTGGGTTGGGCTGTTTTCCCCAGAAGCCCGGGTGTACGTCGGGGGAGCGTGGTGGAGGGGAGGGTCCCGCCTGCGTGTCGTCTGTGGTGGGAGCGGCCCTGGACGGGCTAAGCCGGCTCGGGGACTGCCCGGGCACCCCACTGCCCCGCTGCCCTTAAAGCAAGTCCCAGACACGTTGCTTGCCTCTGAATTGCTTGCCGCGGGCCCGTTCGCGTGCACCTGCTGTGCTCGTTGACAGTCTTGCTTCCACCCCTGGGCTCCGGGCCAGGGGTGTCCAGCCGGCCAGTGTCCTGTGTCCTTGCTCCCTGGGAGCTGTGGGCTGGTCCCGTGCCGGGCCTGCATGTGCAGGCCTGCTGCTCCTGCCGGGACTCCCCCCCAGCCGTGGCCACGCGGGCCCTGGCCCCTCCCGTGGTCTTCAGGCTGCACCAGCCCCGGACCACGGTGACCATGGCTACTCCTGGCTCAGACCTGGCTCCAAGGGGCTGTGCCAGCCAGCGCCTCCCGCTGCCTAGCTTGGGGCTGGTCGAGAACTCAGGCTTTCCACGCGAGGATTGTTGAGGGAGGCCAGATCTGCGCGTGTGATAACAAGGAAAATCAGGCTGCATCCCTGCCAGGCCCTGGGCCCCAAGGCTGTGGGCAGCTGGCGAGGTCTGGGTGGGCCAGTCTCCCTCGCCGAGCTGCGTCTGCTGCTGCATCCGCGCTGGAATGGAAGGGGATCCCCCATGACCAGGCCAGGCCCAGCTGGTGGGTCCTGGGGTGTGTGGCCTCCTGGCCTGCTTGGGTGCCCAGCCCTCCCTGACAGCCGCCTGCACCGGGCCTTGGGGTCTTGAGACCCGCCTGGGCCCAAGCGCTGCTGGGCGTGCGAGGTTGGCAGGGGCACGACGTCGCCTAGGCTGAGAGAAGCACTGTCCCCACTGGCGTCCATGCGTCCAACACTTTCTGGCCGACGGCAGCTCTTGGGCTGGGGCGGTGTGGCCACAGGTCCCACTGGCTGGGGCTGTTTGTCCAGCTACAGGTCAGGGCCCCCAGGTCTGGTCCACTCTGGGCTGTCACTGCTCATGGTGCTCCTGTCCGTCTTCCCTGTTCTGTTCTGTCGAGTTGCACGAGCCTCTGGGGATGTCTCTTGACCGCTAAGCCAGAGCCCGCCTCTGGCGGGCGGGGTGGCCGCTCTGAACCTGTCTTCTGCCCGCTGGTGCCCTCGCGTGGTGGAGCGCAGGCCGGAGCTGCTACTTCTGGCTCAGATTTCCTCCATTGTGGCAGGAGGACTTGATAAGACAGAGCCTCCCAGGAGCCCCGGGGGGAGGCACGTGGCCCCCCTGGCCAGCGGAGCCCTCACGCATACTGGCTGTGCCCACTGAGGCCGCGGCCTCCTGTCCTCCCGTGGGCTCTTCTCACTGAGGGCCTGAGGGGCTCGTTGAGTCCCCTTCAGTGTGGCGGGACAGTGCCCAGTGGCTGGGAGCCCGTCGTGTGGGGGCTGGACCAGAGCATGCCCCGTCACAGCGCCGCCAGCCCCTGCTGGCCCCTTGGGGCGCTGCCTCCCGCATTCGGGTTCTTGGGGTAGGGAGTCTGGATGGACTCGGTTTTCTGTCCTCGGGTGACTTGTGAATCTAATGGGCTGTGAAAGAGGCCGGTTGGGCTCGTGTGCGGCAGGGCCGCTCCTGAGAAGACCAGCCTGGTGCTCTGGAAGCAGCGAGGAGCCCAGTTGTCTGCCACCCACCCCACCCTCCCCCCGCAGGCCCCGGCAGCCTGGGCTGGGGTTCTCAGCCAGTTACCCCAAGTGACTGTGGCGCGGCAGGCTGGGCTTTCCTGGCTCTGAGGCAGGGAGGGCACGTGAGGCGGGGCTCCCTAGGGAGTGGCCCTCTGGAGCCGGCCCTGCTTGCTCCCGGCCACAGGCCTCCGCCACGGTGGCCATCCCCAAGGAGCACCACCGCTTCGTCATCGGCAAGAATGGGGAGAAGCTGCAGGACCTGGAACTGAAAACTGCCACCAAGATCCAGATCCCGCGCCCGGACGACGCCAGCAACCAGATCAGAATCACCGGCACCAAGGAAGGCATCGAGAAGGCGCGCCACGAGGTCCTGCTCATCTCCGCTGAGCAGGTGGGCCCGCGGGGGAGGATGCGGTGGGGCGGGGGCTTCCCTGGCCCAGGCGCACCAGCTTAGAGGCGGCTCTCCCAGGACAAGCGCGCAGTGGAGCGGCTGGAGGTGGAGAAGGCCTTCCACCCCTTCATTGCCGGCCCGTACAACCGGCTGGTGGGCGAGATCATGCAGGAGACCGGCACGCGCATCAACATCCCCCCGCCCAGTGTCAGCCGCTCCGAGATCGTCTTCACTGGGGAGAAGGAGCAGCTGGCCCAGGCCGTGGCGCGCATCAAGAAGATTTACGAGGAGAAGGTAGTGGCGGGGTTGAGAGCCCCTGGGCGGGCCTGGGCGAGGGGTCCTCGGGGCTTGACTGGACCGTGGGGCTTGTGCTGCCGTACGTGAGCTGGTGCCTAAGACCAGACACCCGTCGCCCACTTGGCCACCCCGGGTGGCTAGAGCCCCCCAGGACCACCTCTGATGCGGAGCAGCAATGCTGTCAAGCGCCCGGTGTACGCTGCCGCCCTCGGCCATGTTTCACCCACACATTGGTCTCCTGTCCCCTTAGAAAAAGAAGACCACGACCATTGCGGTGGAGGTGAAGAAGTCCCAGCACAAGTACGTCATCGGGCCCAAGGGCAACTCCCTGCAAGAGATCCTGGAGCGGACGGGCGTCTCCGTGGAGATCCCGCCCTCAGACAGCGCCTCCGAGACTGTGATCCTGCGGGGCGAACCCGAGAAGCTGGGGCAGGCGCTGACCGAGGTCTACGCCAAGGTGGGCGCCAGGGTTCTGGGTTCCCTGCCGGGGCCGCACCGCCCGGCGCCGGAACCCCAGCCACATCTGCCTCCCCTCCTAGGCCAACAGCTTCACGGTGTCCTCCGTCTCGGCCCCTTCCTGGCTGCACCGCTTCATCATTGGCAAGAAAGGGCAGAACCTGGCCAAGATCACTCAGCAGATGCCAAAGGTGGGTGGCCACCGGCAGTCCTGGGCACAGGTCCTGGCCTCCAGGGGGCAGCACGCGTCTCACAGGACCCGCCGTCCTCGGGTCTTCCCGAGTGCGCGGCTACTGCATGTGCGGATCTGCAGGCACCTGTGACCCCCTCAAGGGCTGGCCTGCAGGCAGCACACGCGGATGGGGGGCCTCCTGGTCTCTGTCTCTGTCCCGGGATCTCCCCATTTCCCAAGGACGGGCTCGCGGCCGGCAGACCTGACTGGGTTGGACGTGCCCGTGACCACACCCCTCCCGCAGGCTCCGCTCGCTCGGGGCGTGTCTCCCGCCTCCTGCTCTGTCGCCGACAGACCAAACGGGTCGCTCTTACTGCTGCCCTGCTTGCCCCCCGCCCCAGGGCTGGCCAGCGTCTCTGCAGCGCTGACGCGGCTCACACGTCAGAGGCGCTCGGCAGGCCCCAACGAGCCTGGTGGTGGGCAGGGCATACCATCGGCCAGGGAAGGCCTGGCCGGCCTCGCGCCCCACCCCCATGGGTGGGCTGCCACCTCCGGAGGTCACCCCCCTCTGCTCAAGGCTGCGGTCACTGTGTCCCCTCTCTGACCGCCCCGTCGGCTGTGCAGGTACACGTCGAATTCACAGAGGGCGAGGACCGGATCACTCTGGAGGGCCCCACGGAGGATGTCGGTGTGGCCCAGGAGCAGATCGAGGCCATGGTCAGAGATCTGGTGAGCAAGGCCAGCGGCCAGGGCTCCAGGCAGAGCAGAAGGGCCGGCAGGGCGGCTCCTGGATAGGGTGGGGGCTGCGGAGCCCAGCCCTGAGCCGCCTGCCGGCCACCCGCAGGTCAGCCGCATGGACTACGTGGAGATCAACATCGACCACAAGTTCCACCGGCACCTCATTGGGAAGAGCGGCGCCAACAGTGAGTGGCGGGCTCCTCCGCGTTCACGGGCCACTCCCAGGGCAGGGGGTGGGGGGTGCTGGCCCTGGAAGTGGGAGGTTCGCTCCTGCCTCCGAGCCGCTCCCAGAGCCATGGCCACAGCCACTGGCCTGCCGCACCCTCTGTGGTGGTCACTGTGCGGGCTCAGTCCCGCTGGGGTCTCAGCCGCACCCACCTGCCCATGACCCTTGAGGGGTCTTGTCTGTCGGACCCATGTTCTGTCAAGGGCGACCGGCCGGGTTTGGTGCTGGGCGTGGCCCCTGGGCTCCCTTACGGGTTGCGGACCCTTGGCTCGCTGGGGCCCGCGTGGTGGGCTCGTGGGCGTGGCGGCCCCCCTGGTAGCTTCCCAGCTCGGGTGGTCCTTCCCTGGGAAAGTGACGTGAGACCCGTCTCTGCAGGGGCCCCCGCCCCACCCCCACGCACATTCCTGAGTGGAAGCCTATCAGGAGGCCCAGACGCCTCCAGGTCGGGGTGTCTGCCCAGGGGCTTGGTCCTGGCGGGTGGCGACTTCCAACCCCGCCCGTCCATGCCCCCAGTCAACAGGATCAAGGACCAGTACAAGGTGTCCGTGCGCATCCCGCCCGACAGCGAGAAGAGCAGCCTGGTGCGCATCGAGGGCGACCCGCAGGGTGTGCAGCAAGCCAAGCAAGAGCTGCTGGAGCTTGCCTCCCGCATGGTGAGCGCCGGCCCACGGGTCAGGAGCAGCCCCGGCTCAGGCGCCTCTCTCTGGGCAGTGCTGCAGGGGCCGTCAGGCGCGGTGGACGGCGGGCGGCCGGGTGAACCCACTGTCGTGTGTCGTGTGCCCAGGAGAACGAGCGCACCAAAGACTTGGTCATCGAGCAGCGCTTCCACCGCACTATCATCGGGCAGAAGGGCGAGCGGATCCGCGAGATCCGGGACAAGTTCCCAGAGGTGGGCCTGGAGCTGGGGCTAGGGTTGTGGGGCTGAGGTCCTGAGGTCTGGGGCTGGATCTGAGGCTGGGGTCCTGAGGTCCTGGGGCTGGGGTTGTCGGGCTGGGGTCCTGGGGCCTGGATCTGGGATTGGGGCTGGGGCTGGCCGGTCCTGAGTGGCTGCTGGTGCTTGGCCCCAGGTCATCATCAACTTCCCAGACCCGGCGCAGAAGAGTGACATCGTGCAGCTCAGGGGGCCCAAGAACGAGGTGGAGAAGTGCACGAAGTACATGCACAAGATGGTGGCCGACTTGGTAGGGCCTGCAGGGTGGAGGGGTCCCCTCTTCCTGTGTTGGGTCACCTTTTTTAGAGAAGATTGGGCCATTCTTATTTCTTCTCTCCTATGGCAGAGCAGGCAGAGGTGGCTGGGGAGGTGGGGGGTGGGTGATGGAGGGGCCCCAATGGGCCAGACGCCCCCCCACCCTGGAACATGGGGAGGGGAGCTGGGTGCAGCCCTGGCCAGTGTCTTTCTCGTGCCGGGCCCGGTCCTCGGCCGCTCTGCGCTGGACGCGGCTGGGATGCCCTCACCCAGGGTGTGGCGGGGCCCCAGGGCAGTGGGCGGCCTGCTCCTGGCGTCCATGGGGCTGAGGGCACTTTCTCCCTCTTGGCCTAGGTGGAGAACAGCTACTCCATTTCCGTCCCGATCTTCAAGCAGTTTCACAAGAACATCATTGGGAAGGGGGGCGCAAACATCAAAAAGGTAGCGCCCACCGGCTCCAGGCACAGGGAGCCCCTGCCCAGCTGCCTGGCCTGCTGCCCACGGCCCTCTCCCCTAGATCCGGGAAGAAAGCAACACCAAGATCGACCTGCCGGCGGAGAACAGCAACTCCGAGACCATCGTCATCACGGGCAAGCGCGCCAACTGCGAGGCCGCCCGCAGCCGCATCCTGTCCATCCAGAAAGACCTGGTAGGCGGCGGGCCCCCCACCGCGGCCTGGCGTGGCGTCACCCGTGCTGCCGAGACCCCTCGGGTGCCGCGGCCACGCCCCCTGAGCCGTGCCCTGCTGCAGGCCAACATCGCCGAGGTGGAGGTGTCCATCCCTGCGCGGCTGCACAACTCGCTCATCGGCACCAAGGGCCGCCTGGTCCGCGCCATCATGGAGGAGTGCGGCGGCGTCCACATCCACTTCCCCGTGGAGGGCTCCGGCAGCGACGCTGTGGTCATCAGGGGCCCGTCCGCGGACGTGGAGAAGGCCCGGAAGCAGCTGCTGCACCTGGCGGAGGAGAAGGTGAGCGCGGGTCTGTCTGGCCCCCTCCTGGGGCCCCTGGCTCTGGGGGCCATCGTGGCGCCTCTGCTGGGGACGCTGCCCCCCCCAGGGTCCTACGCGGGGTCGCTCCCGATGTCCTAGGCCCTGCGGCTGTGGGTCGGCTCGTGCTGGAGGCGCCGCCGCTGGCCGGGGCTCCTCTGCTTTTTGGGAGACGCTCTTCTCAGTTTCTGATTGGGGTTCCACTGAAGCCCAGTTGGGGTCACCTTGGGCTCTTGGGGCTGTATCTCTAAGTCTTAGGTTTTCCTGCGCCCTGGGGTGGGGGCGTGCTCACTCTCTCAGATCCTGTCTGGTCTGGACTCTGGGGAGTGGCTGGGCTGGTGCTGGTTGGTCCCAAGCCCTCGGGGTGGCCGGTGGGCGTCGAGCGGGTCTGCCGTGACTTCCTGCCTCCGGCCGACGCTCACTCCCGGCTCCCGGTAGCTAGCTTTTCTCTGGAGCCGCGTGAGTTTGCTGGGCGCACGGTGCCCCCCAGGACAGCGTCTGGTCTCCCGCAGCGCCGTGCTTCCAGCCGGGGGTGGTGGCGCCCATGGGGCTGGGTTCCAGGCGCCTGACCACGTCGGCAGAGGCTGCTGTTTGTGTTGACATGAGCGGGGGTTCTGCTGTAAATGAATGGGGGGTCTCAGGCTTCTGGGCTCCACTGCAGCTGCCTGTGTCACTCTCCGCACTGCCAGCACCGTGCCCGCCTGCCCCTGGGCGTGCCCGCAGGGCCCAGACTGGCGGGGGCGCGGCAGTGGGGTCAGCGCACCCGTGGGGACGACTGCTCTGCCTCTCACCGTTAGCCGGGTTGCAGGAGCAGAGGGAGGGGCTGTGCTCCCTGCAGGTGGTGGCCGGGGCGAAGGCGCATGCCAGGGCCCTGGGCCAGGCGGGCCTGGAGACACATGCAGGGGCTGCGCATGGGGAGGCGCCCCAGCTGCACTGCCCCGTCCAGGTCGGGATGCAGGTGGCAGCAGCCGATGGGCCTGGGTCGGTTTCTACAGCAAACCAAGAGTTTCACCGTCGACATCCGAGCCAAGCCCGAGTACCACAAGTTCCTCATCGGCAAGGGGGGCGGCACGATCCGCAAGGTGCGGGACAGCACCGGGGCCCGTGTCATCTTCCCAAGCGCCGAGGACAAGGAGCAGGACCTGATCACTGTCGTGGGGAAAGAGGAGGCCGTGCGTGAGGCCCAGCGGGAGCTGGAGGCCCTGATCCAGAGCCTGGTGGGCAGCGGCAGTGGCGGGCAGGCGGTGGGCGGGCGGGGGCGGCCGGGGGTGGCCAGGGGTGACCGTCCATCCTCGCAGGACAACGTGGTCGAGGACTGCATGCTCGTGGACCCCAAGCACCACCGCCACTTCGTCATCCGGAGGGGCCAGGTCCTGCGGGAGATCGCGGACGAGTATGGGGGCGTGATGGTGAGCTTCCCGCGCTCCGGCACGCAGAGCGACAAGGTCACCCTCAAGGGCGCCAAGGACTGCGTGGAGGCCGCCAAGAAGCGCATTCAGGAGATCATCGAGGACCTGGTGGGTGCCTCCACCCCTGCGCCTCCCGACACGGGGCCCTGGCGCCGCCCTGTCCGGGCCGCTCACTGCGGGGCAGCCCCCCTGCATCTGTGGGGCCAGATCTAGAGGGCGGCCTGCGGAGGAGTGGGGTGCGCTGTGCACAGCCCTCGACGTCCCCTTTGCTCCGCCCCAGGAAGCCCAGGTGACCATCGAGTGCGCCATCCCGCAGAAGTTCCACCGTTCGGTCATGGGCCCTAAAGGCTCCCGGATCCAGCAGATAACGCGCGACTTCAACGTGCAGATCAAGTTCCCAGACAGGGAGGAGAACCCAGGTGGGTGCACGCTGCGCCTGGGGAGGGCTGCGGGGGCGCAGCTACTGACCCCAGCTCCGTGCTCTGTCAGGCCCGGCCCCCCTCACCCCACCCCCGAGTCTCCCTGGAGCTGCCTGGCTGAGATGGCCGCCGTGAGCGGGGGAGGGGGCGCTTGGCTGCTGCAGGGTGGCCCCATGTCCTCCATGTCCTGTTGCGGGGCCTGCCTGAGGCTGCGCTGATGGATGTCCCCAGGGGGCTGGCGGGCCAGGGGGCACTTCCTTCCAGTGGACACACCTCTGGGCGGCCCTTTCCACACCCTGTGGCCCCTCTCCAGCCCCCCAGGGGCCCACTGCCCAGAAGAGCCAGACAGACCCTGGAGGGAGGGCCGGGGCGGGGCGGGTGGCCGCTCAGCAGCGGGCGCGGCCCTCCCTCCCTCTGGTGCAGCGCCCAGCGCAGAGCCGGCCGTGCAGGAGAACGGGGACGACGCCGGGGAGGGCAGGGAGGCCAGGGAGGCAGAGCCCGGCTCCCCGCGGAGGCGCGACATCGTCACCATCTCCGGCCGCAGGGAGAAGTGTGAGGCCGCCAAGGAGGCCCTCGAGGTACCCATCCCCCTCGGCCCCGCAGCCCCCGCCTGGGCTGCTCGGGGCGCACGGCGCTTTCTGGGGGGGTGGCCAGGCCTGGGGACACCTGCAGGGAGAGGAGAGATGGGCGCCCCGGAGGGTGCTAGGGGCAGGCCGTCCTCCTCTGCCCGGAGTCGCCCCGTGGTCCTGAGCTTCGCGAGGGGCCCAGAGCGGGGACAGGACGGGCGCTCGGCTGTGGTGACTGGAGCAGGGCTCGGCGGCCGCCCCAGGCCAAGAGTGAGCCCATGGCCTCCCCCAGGCGCTGGTCCCCGTCACCATCGAGGTGGAGGTACCCTTTGACCTCCACCGGTACGTCATCGGGCAGAAGGGGAGCGGCATCCGCAAGATGATGGACGAGTTCGAGGTAGTGCGGGCTGGCGGGTCAGCGAGATGGTGGGGGCCCCCACCCCGGCGCCCACATGAGCCCGTCCCCACCCCCACCCCCACCCCCGCAGGTCAGCATCCACGTGCCGGCGCCCGAGCTGCAGTCCGACGTCATCGCCGTCACCGGCCTGGCCGCGCACCTGGACCGGGCCAAGGCCGGCCTCCTGGAGCGGGTGAAGGAGCTGCAGGCTGAGCAGGAGGACCGGGTGGGCCGGCGGCCGCACCGGGGGGTGGGGGGCGTCTCCCTGGAGAGCGGGCGCAGCTGACCCGCCCTCCCACTGCTGCCTGCAGGCTCTGAGGAGCTTCAAGCTGAGCGTCACCGTCGACCCCAAGTACCACCCCAAGATCATCGGGAGGAAGGGGCCGTGATCACCCAGATCCGCCTGGAGCATGATGTCAGCATCCAGTTTCCCGACAAGGACGACGCCACCCAGGTAGAGCGGCCCGCGGGCAAGGCCCGGCCCCCGCCCCAAGCGTCCTTGTCCTGGGGTGTCTGCATTTCTTTGCCTTCACCTCCCTGTGGCCCGTCCTGCCCTGGCCCTGCTTCTCCCGCCTCTGACCTCCCGGCCGCAGCGTGGGGGCTGTTCGCGCGTGCCCACCCCACGGAGTGTGCTGGCCTCTGCCATCTGGTCAGAGGCGGGGCCGGGGCCCTCCCCACCCACACGGCCCTGGTTGCCTGCCCGAGCCCCCTGCGGGACCATGGGCAGGACCGGGCGGCCCCTCAGGCTCCCTCTCAGCCCCAGGACCAGATCACCATCACCGGCTACGAGAAGAACACGGAGGCCGCCCGGGACGCCATCCTGAGGATCGTGGGCGAACTCGAGCAGATGGTCTCGGAGGACGTCCCGCTGGACCACCGTGTCCACGCCCGCATTATCGGTGCCCGAGGCAAAGCCATCCGCAAGATCATGGATGAGTTCAAGGTGGGGGTTGGAGTGTTGGGGGGGGTTGGCCCCCCAAGGGACTCCTGGGGCTCTGGCCACGGCCTATCAGCAGGGAGGGCCAGGCGGGGCCTGGGGCCGGCGCTCAGCCACGTTCTCCCGCAGGTGGACATCCGCTTCCCCCAGAGCGGGGCCCCAGACCCCAACTGCGTCACGGTGACGGGGCTCCCGGGGAACGTGGAGGAGGCCATCGACCACATCCTCAACCTGGAGGAGGAATATGTGAGCGGGCGGGGTGGGGCCCCCAGGGCGGGGCCTCCAGGGTGGGGGCGGGGCCTGCATTCCTCCTGACTGCTGCCCCCCCACAGCTGGCCGACGTGGTGGACAGCGAGGCGCTGCAGGTGTACATGAAGCCGCCTGCCCACGAGGAGTCCAAGGCGCCCTCCCGGGGCTTCGTGGTGCGGGACGCACCTTGGACGGCCCACGGCAGTGACAAGGTGGGGCCAAGGGCAACGGGGCGGGGGGCACGGGTGGCAGCAGCCAACACCACCCCCCCACCCCCCACCCCCCACCCCCGCTGAGGCCCTGCTTCTCCTCTGCAGGCCCCTGACATGAGCAGCTCTGAGGAGTTTCCCAGCTTTGGGGCGCAGGTGGCCCCCAAGACCCTCCCCTGGGGCCCCAAACGATAATGATCAAAAGCCGGCGCCGCCAGCCGCTGAGCAAACTGCCCTGTGCGGTTTTTCTCGACCTGACCAGCGGCTGGACACTCTGCACCGCCGACGCCCCTCCCCGAGGTCTCACAGCGAAGCCGGCAGCGCCGTGGCAGGTCCGGCCCAGCCCCTGCTCGGCCTGACGCCCGCCAGGCCGCCACTGTGGTCAGCCCCCCGGAGCTCGGGCGCAGGGTCAGGCCCAGCCCGGCCAGCATGTCCAGCAGGCGGCCCCCTCGGCAGGCCTGGTCGGCTTCCTGTGTCACGACCTCAGGAAATAAACTTCCTTGACTTTATAAAAGCCAGACGTCTCCCCATTCTTGCTGCCACAGGCCTCTGCCTCCCGCCACTGGGTGGTCTGCTGGGCCGGTGTCCCGTTGCTGCAGTGTCAGCGCCAGCCTGGAGCGGTGTCCCCAGCACCCCGGCTGCCCGGGGGTGCTCCAAAGCTGGGTCCACCCCTGCTTGGGTCTGGCCAGCAGCCTTTGCCACCTGTGGGGGCCAGCTTGGGGGCCGGGGATCTCTTCGGTGTGTGGGGGTGACCCCACGCCCCCACGCGGGTGCCACCTGCTGTGTGGCCAGAGTTGGGCTCTGCTCCCAGAGGGGACTAAGCCCTCCAGTGTCCATCCCAGGCCCCAAGGCCCTTGGGGAGCTGGGCGCCCCACCACTCAGGCCAGGCTTTCCTCCACCCTGTTGGCCACTAATACTCCAGCCGCAGGTGCGTGATGGTGGTGAGGGGAGTGGCAGCCGCCCTGGCCCTGCCCTAGGTGCGCCCGCGGCCTGTCTGCTCTGCCCCTCACCCTCTACCACCTGAAACCTGCTCTTCCTTCTGGCCTCCTGCAGGGTCCTCTATGCCGCAGCCCCTGCCCGCCCAGGCCCCTGCTCCCCTGGGGCCGCCACTGCCAGGTCTGGGGCAGAGTCCAGGGGCCAGGACTCTGCAGCCCTCTTGCTGCCACCTGCCCGCGAGCACAGATGCAGAGGCTCCTGAGCGATCACCTGGATTTTATGAACAAGCAGAAGGCGCGTTCTGGGCTCAGTTTGTCACGCCACCTGTGCGTGCTGGGCCATGGGGCCACGTGGTCAGGGCCCAGCATGTGGGGCGCCCAGCTGGCACAGCCCCAGCCCCCCCGCGTGTCCTCGCTGCCCTGGCTGCAGCGGCGCCCAAGTGAGCCCCTCCAGAACCGCAGGGGTGGGGGCACCCCAGGGGCCAGCACCGCCGTGCCCAGCTTGGGTGTGGCCAGGTGACCCCGGGTGAGGCTGGCAGGCGACCGCTGGCCACGCCTTCAGGGCTCGGAGGGCGCCTCACACAAGGTCCGCCAGGCAGAGGCCTGGGGTCGCGCCCGTGGGGGCATCTGTGGGCCAGGCCGGCGGGGTGGGGCACAGGCAGGACACGCGGGCGCAGCCAGCGGCTCTGGGGCAGAGCGGCTTCCTCGAGGCGGGTGGAGACCAGGGGCCCCGCCAGCAGCTGCCCACACTCGGCCAACAAACACAGCGTCCACTTGGGCCCTCATTCTGGGCGGAGCTGCCCCGGGAGAGCGTCCTTGGTGTCTGGGCCAGCCGGTAGCCGGCTCGGGCCGGGGGGTCGGGACGGGCAGGGGCCCGGCTCCAAGCCGAGTCCTGATGGAGCTGACCGGCTTTGCTGGGGGACGCAAGTGGGGCTGGCCACGTGCCCTGGGGCTCCCGGCCTCCATCTTGCACTCGCGGGGTGGCCTGTGCTCCAGAGGGCAGGAGCCGGGGGGCCGCGGGCGCCAGCAGCTAGGGCTGGGGCCCCAGACGCGGCTCCGAGCCTGGAGGCCCGTCTTCCTTGGCTCCGCTGACCTGTGGGGGCGTGCGCGGCGTGATGTCACTGCTGGGGGCGCCCCTGCGGGCGGGGCGGGGCGTGGGCGGGCGGCTCACCCCGTTCTCGGCCAGCGCCTGCTTTGCCAGGAGGTGCTCTCGCTTCACCTGGGCCCGCGGGCGCGGGGACGTCCGGCACCAGGAGGTCGAAGACCCGGCCAGCGGAGATGACCACGGGCCGCGCGGGGGCAGGCGGCGGCGGGCGGGGGCCCGGCGAGCGGGGAGGCCCCGCTACCGCGCAGGGCCCAGCCGGGGAGCAGCAGAGGCGAGGGCTGCGGGGGGGGGACAGCCGGGCCTCCCGGTGCCCAGACACAGGCAGGCCGCGGCCACCGCCGCGGGGGGGTCGGTCTCCCGGGCGCCAGAGGGGCACCACGTGCCCACGGTGGCAGCAGGAAGCGCGGCAGCGCCCACATGAGCAGTGGAGTGGCCCTGGGCTCAGGCCGGAGGGCCCGGGGGCAGCAGTACCTCAAACGCGATGACGAAGGCCCAGCGAGGTTCCTGTAGGCCGGAGAAGGCCGTCCGGCGCCCTCCGCGAAGGCTGGTGCCCGCGGTGGCGCCGCCCTCCCCGAGCCCGCGGGTCTGCAGGGCCTGGGGTTAACAGCAGGGGCCGGGCCGGGCCGGACGGACGGGGGGCGCCTGTCTCCCACCCGGGCTTGAGCCGACCCGACTGCCGCGAGGGGCGGCGGCCGCGGGCCACAGGGCGCCCCAGCCTCCCGCAGGAAGATGCCCCCGTCAGCCCCACCCGCGGCCACTGTCCAGGGGGGCAGTGAGCCCCGCCGGGGCAGCGCCCTGGGTCCTGCGGGGCAGACGGGACAGGCTCTGGGGGCGCCGCGGACAGCAGGACCCGGCGCAGCGTCGCAGCGCAGGGAAAGCCGCCTGGAAGGCGGGAGGCCCAGCCGGGGAGGGGGGAAAGAGCAAGTGAAACAGGCCGAGCTAGGCGCAGCAGGCGTGCGGGACGGGGGAACGATGCAGCCCCCAAGTGCAGAGGGAGCCCCAGGGGGGCTCAGAACGTGGAGGGGCGCCTGGACGCGGGGCGCGGACCCCGGGGCGGGCAGGGGCCAGGGCGGCCCCCGGGAGGGAAGCGCCTCGGGCTCCGCGGGGCGCACGAGCGGGCGCAGCCCCCCCAGGAAGCCCGGGCCGGCCGGGAGGGCAGCGAGCTCGGGAGCCGGCGGGCCTGACCCCGGCCCAGGCCGTGTCCGCGGCCGCGCCGGGGCGTCTCCGCGGGGCGAGGGCGCCAGGAGCCCCGGGGGCGGGGCCGGGGGGCCGCGGGGCCGGGTCCTGCGAAGCCGGCTCCGGATCCGCCGCGCGCCGGGCTCGGGACTCGGGCCCCTCGGCCGGCGGCCGGTTGGAGGAGAGGGAAACCCGCCCGGGGCGGCTCCGGCCGGCGGGTCAGCGGGGAGGCGCGGCCCGGGCGCTCGGCGTCCACCTCGCGGGAGGGAGACGCCCGTGTCCGCGGGGCCGGCGGAGGCGCAGCCCCGCCCGCGGGGGGCACCGGGCAGCGCGGCGCGAGCGGGGCCGCAGGGGCCTCCCGGGCCGGGGGGCACTGGGCGCGGGGGGCGGGACACCACGGCCCGGCGGGGCCGCTGGCCGCTGACCTGTCCGTGGGCGCTCGCCGCAGCGGCGCGGGACGGCCCGGCCCCGCCGCCCCCTGCGCCCGCCCCCGGGGCGCACCGGCTTGCGCGGGCGGGAGGCCCACGGGCCGCAGTGGCGCGAGCAGGTCGGTCGGGCCGCAGCAGCGCCTGGGGGCGGGGCGCCGTCGGGGCGGGGCGCCGTCGGGGGCGGGGCGCCGTCGGGGGCGGGGCGCCGTCGGGGGCGGGGCGCCGTCGGGGGCGGGGCGCCGTCGGGGCGGGGCGCCGTCGGGGGCGGGGCGCCGTCGGGGCGGGGCGCCGTCGGGCGGGCGCCGTCGGGGGCGGGGCCGTCGGGGCGGGGCGCCGTCGGGGCGGGGCGCCGTCGGGGCGGGGCGCCGTCGGGGGCGGGGCGCCGTCGGGCGGGGCGCCGTCGGGGCGGGGCGCCGTCGGGGGGGGCGCCGTCGGGGGCGGGCGCCGTCGGGGCGGGGCGCCGTCGGGGGCGGGGCGCCGTCGGGGCGGGGCGCCGTCGGGGGCGGGCGCCGTCGGGGGCGGGGCGCCGTCGGGCGCCGTCGGGGCGGGGCCGTCGGGGCGGGGCGCCGGGGGCGGGGCGCCGTCGGGGGCGGGCGCCGTCGGGGGCGGGGCGCCGTCGGGGCGCCGTCGGGGCGGGCCGTCGGGGGTCGGGGCGGGGCCGTCGGGGGCGGGGCGCCGTCGGGGGCGGGGCGCCGTCGGGGGGCGGGGCGCCGTCGGGGCCGTCGGGGGCGGGGCCGTCGGGGGCGGGGCGCCGTCGGGGCGGGGCGCCGTCGGGGGCGGGCGGCGCGGGCGCCGGGGGCGGGGCGCCGTCGGGGGCGGGGCGCCGTCGGGGGCGGGCGCCGTCGGGGCGCCGTCGGGGCGGGGCGCCGTCGGGGGCGGGGCGCCGTCGGGGGCGGGGCGCCGTCGGGGCGGGGCGCCGTCGGGGGCGGGGCGCCGTCGGGGGCGGGGCGCCGTCGGGGGCGGGGCGCCGTCGGGGCGGGGCGCCGTCGGGGGGGCGCCGTCGGGGGCGGGCGCCGTCGGGGGCGGGGCGCCTCCTGCTGTGCTGCTGAGCTGCTGCTCGCCACCCTGGTCCCCTGCGGCTTCAGGCCCCGCTGCAGGTCGCAGCCCGGCCCGCACTGCAGGGCGGAGGTGCCGTGGGCGCTGGCCCGGCCCGCCCTCCACCCCAGGGCCCGCCCCAGGCGCCCCTTCCTCTCGGGCCTTGGGGCGCCTTCAGGGCCCTCCCCAGACCCTTAGCCCTCCCGGCCGGGCCGCCGCCCGCCCCCGCTTGGCTTTCAGACCCGGCCTCAGAGGCCCCGGGACGCCCCGTCGGCTGCCGCGCCCGGCCCGGGGTCTGGGCCGGAGGGGACCGAGGCGGGCAGTTCCGAGGGGCTCCGCGCCGTCGGGGGGTCCGGAGGGTCCGGGCGAGTCGCGCCCAGGAGCCCGCGGCGGTGACCCTCCTCCGGGGCCGCCCCAAGCCTCGCGTGCTTCTGGGGTGTCGCCCCCACCGGCCTCTTGTGCCGGCCTCGGGCTCTGCTTTGGGAGACCCCGCGCTGGGCGGCGCCCCCACACGAGGAGGGGCCGCCCGAGGGGCGCGGGGGGCCGGGCTGTCTGTGTGGGGCGCGCACCTCCTCCTCGCGGAGGCCGAGCAGGGCGCGGTAGTCGCGGGGGAGCGCGAACCTGGAGGGAGCCCGGGTCTGAGGCCGCCCCTGGGCGGGGGCGGCGGGGGGGGGCGGGGGCGGGGCCGGGGGGGCGGGGCGCCCTCCTGCCTGGAAGGGGCCCCGGAGGGGGCGCCGAGTAGCAGTTGACCGAGGACCGTGAGGGGAGGGCGCCCCCGGGCTCCGCCTGCGTCCCGCGCATCTCGGGCAGAGCAGGGTCAGCCGGGCGAGGCCCCCCACTTTGACCCCCCCGCCCCCC